AAATATGGCTATTAAAGACATCAGAAAAAATTACATATTTTTTTATACATACTTATATGAAATTTTAACATCAACGACATCTTTCGGTGCTCAAAAATAACATATGTGACTTTCCACCTCGAGAGGTAGTATATAGAAATTAATTCATAGCTTTCAAAGGGATATATTAAAAAAAGAATTTATACTTATGGCAGAAATTAAGCATAAAATTTAAATATGTCAATTTTATTAACTTTAAATTAGCCGAAATACTGTTAATTTAAAATCTGGTGAACTGAAGACAGACTGTATTTATCTAAGCAATTCTTTGTGACAAGATAAGATAAGAAGCTTGTGCAAACGATATTAATTTTTTACTTGATAAAAGTTCTAAACGATACTCATTTTTATAATAATTTTTTGTATTGCCTATTTTCTAGATAATATATTAATTTCAAAATTGAACTTTCCAATCATTAAATACGCAAACTTAAAAGATGAGACAGAGAATAGAAGAAATTCATTCACAATACTATAAGCAGCACAAAGCTGAAAGGTTCACACTATTTTAAAAGTGATATAGAGGTTTCAATATCCGACTAAAAAGCGTTCTCCGTCAAGAACTTAACTAAAGGATAACATTTATCGAAACAATAATAATTATTAAACGACATTTCTATAAGTTCGCGTTTTAGAGATACATACTTTCAAAGTTAACGGGTGACACCCTTTATTATACTGAGATAGAATTGGAAAGACAGTGATGCCTGTGAACGGAAAGTATTTCGATCAGAAAGAGAAAAAACATCGCGGTACACTATCTACCTCTTTCTAGTAGCGCTTGCACAGTAAAGGACAGCAATAAACAAACCGTCAAAACGTTTGCCGTACTACCTTTCTGTGCTAACTACGCATACGCGGGTAGAGAGAGACAGGTATGACTGCGACCTTTTCTCTCTTCCGACGAAAGAGCAGCTGAAGGACTCACTTTCCTCTGTGGCGACGATGCAGTACAACGTTGATGGATTATATCTCCGTACGGTATCTTTCTAGATTTCGTTTAATAAATATATTTGTATCTGCTAATTTTAGCGATTTATTTGCACAAATTATTTGACGGATCGCGAATTAAAAAGAATAATAATTAAAATGGAAGAAAGGCGAAACATTCATAGCCGAGTTCGTTGTAACAGTGTCATCTTATCAATTTTTAAGAGAAATATAGTCTACCCGTCTGAATCACTGCTGATGAATTATACTGAATAAATAACTTTTAAAAAATATTCGGATTACAATTTTCGTAACTATAATCTATATAAGGCTAGAAGTCCATCTAAGAGTAGATCTAAAAGGCTCGATTCGTCTATCCTAACTATCTCAAATGATCAGGAACCTTATTACTTAACAATTACGGTCGCTTACATTCAATAGCACACCTATCGGCGACTAAAGGTAAGTCACAGGCATCTTTTATCTTCACAGCAAAATATTATTTTGTATATAACGATTGATATTACACACTTAGAGAAATGTTTAAAATCGCATTATAAATTGTAAAACAAAACAAACTTGTTACAATGTGGAACGTTAGAGAAATATTTTAATTAGATTTCTATATGGTAGTTTCGCCTAAGAAGAGATAACATGATAAAAAACGACCGCTTAAAACATACTCAAATTTATATTTGTAATAAGGTAAATTAGCATCGGCTGTAATTTATGAATCTTTTAATATAAATGTCGTGGGCCGATCGTGATCTACCCGGGCATGTCACGATATACCGCCAGTTCTTGCCAGGATTAAACCAGGAAAATCAGGATCGGCCCGGTTAAAAATTTGGCGGAATATCGTAATATGCCCAGGTAGATCTGTGGTCGGTAGAATTGTCTAATTTTTAAATCTATCACAACCATTTTCAAACGTATAACGGTTGTGATAGTAATTTATGGAATTGTATAACTTTTGAAGTCACAATTCCTTCAGGAACGAATGATTATTTGAATGATATAGAATTTCATAGATAATTCATTTGGTAATTAATTGTCTTATTTCGACTAAATCATAAAAACATTTTATTCATATATATAAAATGTTAAAATATTTTATATATTTAATAAACTAAACGTTTTATTTCTACAAAAAACATATACAAAACCGTTGCATTGTACTAATAAAATTCACCAAGCGCGTTTTTTTGGCAGCTCGTTTAGGGGTGAATCCATACGAGTAAATACAAGTGCTTACTCGATACTTTTCTTTCTATACCAAGTACTTTTGTAATTTTAGATCGATTAGTAACTAGTGTCGTGAAGTAAGTACTTGTATCGGTATTTGATCGGTCACTGACTGAGGAGTATCAAAAACTCGCGTGCATGAGACTGTTTTCTCTGTGATAAAGGTGTCTTAAATCTTATGAAAAAGTCCAATAGGCGCAGCGTCTCTGGCGTGTGACTAGGCATTACTAACCCCTACTAATTTTATGCAGTTAGAGATCTATCCAGAGGGGGTCCTACCAGCAAAATTTTGAAGCAATACCTAAGTACAAAATAAATACTTTCTATATGCATCTTAACAAAACTTCATAATAAATCCGGAAATATAATAAACATACTCATAAAATATCGAAAGACTGCAGTTAGTATTCAACTATTTCATTTGACATTACCCAATAGCTTTCAAAGGTATGTGTAACTATCAATTTGCTTAGACAATTCCGATTTACGTCAAATGAATGTTATTAGTCATTCAATATCTTGCAAAAAGCGTCACGATCGCAATTGTTTTCACATGTCAAATAGTTGTTGCGTGAAGTTCGCGAATGTCTTTCAAATGTCAAATTCAAAGTGATTCGTGAAAGATTTTTATAGACAATTAGGGCACTGGATAAAAAGAAAACAACGATTGGCCCACGACATAAATAAGATTTAAAGAATCACTAATTATAATAATACATTTTATATTACAAATTATTATTATTAGAAATTAATCACGTTATTATTTGCTTATAAAATAAAGTGTTGGGATTGGAATTGGAACTTGTCAATCCCGTGCCATGCATACAGCTTATTAGACCTTGTTGTCATAATCTAATAAAGGTACACCACATCCCTGTTCATAAAAAAAAATAGTGGACTTCTTAGACTATGCTACCTTTTGATTAACTATATAATTTGTTGGCTATACAAACATATACAATACACAATAAAATATTCACACTAAACTGTTTAATATAATATTATTTTATTAATGTGGCATTACCGACATTTAGCAGTGAATCTTTTACAGCTGAATTAATAAGTAATCGTTGAAGAAGTCTAAACCCGATATATTAATTTTCATCATACATCATAAAGAACTTAAATATCTGACATGCACACTAGTATCATATATTTCGAACTAAGATATAAATCAAAATTCTGAACTGAGTATGATGTACACTTTCTTGCCCCTAAAAAGCAGAAGCTTTATTTGGCAATTTTAAAACCTAGGAAAATATTGTTCAAGATATCTTATATTTTAATGAAGTTCATTGGAGTAATTAACTATAAATCATTGAAATTTAGCAACTCCTACACCAATTAAAATTACCTGCAAAATAGTTGTGCACCATCCTCAAATACCTACTACGCCTTATTCACGAAAAATCCTCATGAGACCTTGCAGTGTCAACAGAGCAGTAGAAGAAAAAAATACAGAACTCGAAAAAAAAGACCAAAATGACAATCATGATCAGTACTAAAAAGTCTAACTATTCCTGAGGATGCTTCGTGGAGGGACAAAGCACATGTGAAGAAATTAATTGATGGTGTTTGCGAGATTTGATTCCATTTGTGCACTTGTAATTATTTGCAGGCTGTGCACAGATATCATGCAAATACTAACTTTGTATGGAGTCAACTAAATATAGTAGAGTAATAATTATTAGAAATATAGTATTTATATTAGAATGTCGACATTAATATTAATTGAAAATAAAACTAAAACTTGAAATAAAAAAGATCTAAAAGCCTAAAGCATTCTATATAATACAGATCTAGCCATGTGCTAGCTACGCATTTTGTGTACATTTTAATAAAATAAATAAGATAGAATGCTCATTTCTTATACATTAATGGCGTTCGATATAACTACATGCTTCCTTCACTTTCACCAATCACAGTTTTAGCGAATTTAGTGACGCAGGCTAGTCACATGAGAAAGACACACTGATTTTAAAATAAGCGTTTATACGTCATCTTTAAAACAATATACATAAAGTATAAAATATTAACACTCGTCAGTTTTCACTAGTCATACCTATTATCAATTTATTTAGTGATAGAACGAGATGGAAAATAATCCCTTCACATTACCACATCACAATATTATTAGCAAGTGTCGTTTATCAACGTGGTCGCGTTTACTCATCCAGAAACGCATTAGTCCACATATATTTTCATGTTAATATCACTTTAATTTTGGAAAATTCCTATATTTTAAACTATAAAAACATTATAATAAAATAATTTGTAGTGTCATTATCCCACCAGTCCCGTGAAAGTTTGTCAATATATAGAAATATTACAGATAGAGTAAGTAAAACATACCGAAACCTTCTTCAGTTAGAAAGGGGGAAAAGATCGCAGTACCCTATGTGTTTATCTCTACTGAGGTACGCACAGTATAGGACAGCTATATACAAAATGTGGAATAGATCTGGTACGCCCTTTTTATGCGAACTACGTATTAGCGAGTAGATAGAAACAAACAAGATATCGCAATCTTCTCTCTCTTTGACTAGAGCAACTGTCAGAGAGTTGCTCTATCTTTAATACTTCTATGGTGAAAACTCAAATATTAAGGCGATATACAACTTATAACTAGTTATTATTTTCATGCGACACTGGCCAATGCATGTGATATTTGTCTCGCAGACTATATTCTTACACAACCCTGCTAGCTGTCTACACTCGGACCCCACCTTACGTCTACTCGCTATCCGCCAACATTCGAACCATACCTTATAAACGGTAACTAATATTCATAGCGGTATGTACTCCCTAATTTGCTGAAGCGTATCTTGATCAGTCGCTTGCAATAGACGCTCGAACGTTTCCGGACCCACCTGACTTTTCAATGTTTCCAACTGCAACAAACAGACGAATCAAGTTAACCGAGCTTAATATAATAGCAGTTCATTACTACTACAACTGTTTAACACAACTTCTCAAATAATTAACGCACATCCTTAAATGTATTTTGTTTAAATCAGATGCTGATTCGATTTCAGCAATTCTTAATCAGAATTAAGTAAATTATGATTACACCTGAACGATGACAATCGTAACAAACGAAAAATAACTTTAGTCAATGTAATATGACTTTCTAAAATGCATTTGTAACAAAATTCATCATAGAATAAAAATATCAGAGGAAAATGAGTTTAATTTCAATAGACTTGAGCGTTACATACTATTAAACGAACGTCCAGCTTTAATTCACACAGATAAGACGTTATAGATTTTCTAACTTTCTTCCGTTAATATTAAAATAATGCAATAAGACACACGCGCGAGTCGTTCAAACATTCAAGGTCATAAAAGATAAGATCTCTTGCAGGGAGTGTAGTGAAGGGTAGTTTGGTATAGTATAGATAGTATAGTTTAGTATAGTGAAGTGTATGGTAGTGTAGTAGTGTATGGCAGTGAAGTAATATTGAAGGTAGTGCAGTAAAGTGTGATCCCGTGGCCTCCTTGCTGGATCTTGGATCCTTCCCCTCTCACTGAGGTTATTCTGCAGCGGGTTTTACCAGGCAAGCCAGCCACGTTTCTCAGGATAGGGTGGTTGGAGCCCCAGTTTAAGGTGAAATGTATATTCCGTTTGTTGATCTAGTTACTCACATTAAACGATTCTCACTAAACATTTTGGAGTGGTTTGAGATCGGTTCCTCATAGGATCTTTCACTGTCACAGTCATAATTTTCAATGAACTCTTAATTCTGCAAATTCTATGGACCCTGTTAATTTACGCTTGTGCCTCTCCGTTGCACAGCATGAGTCGATTGATTGTAATTCTGCATGCGTGGTTTTTACATATAAATGTATGTTTCGCAATTAAAAATTATACTTCTAAATTTTAAACGTTTCAAAAGCAAGCAAAAGTAACGCCACTATATAAATTTATATAAAAAATTGTCATTTAGTATATACCTATAATTATATATATATTTATCTATAACGCCAACCTTCTGCACAGGCTCTGCCAGAATAACTAGCGCCGTATCGGGGTAATCTAATCTGGTATGGCTTATGCTGACGCAGAGTCCTGATTGGCCACCGCCTTGTAATAAATTAAGTTGTTATAAAACCATTACTATGTACCTATGTGTTCAATAAATAAATGTTCTTTCTTTCTATTTCCTCTGCGTTACCAAAAAAAGTACAGTATTCAACCTGCCCTTCTCAGGATAGGGTGGTTGGAGTGGTACCTGGTGGTGTGTAGCGGCGCGTAGGTCGAGTACTCTCGCGGGATGCGCGGCGGCAAGGCGGCGGCGGCGGGTTTCGTGTGGGGAGTCAGGGGCAGGGGCGGTCCCCCACCGCGCCGCGCCCCCGCGACCTTCCAGCGGGGACGCCGGCCGAGACCCCGGAGCAGCCACCAGACCGCTGTCGAACGATCACTCGTTACTACAACCCTCTATTTAATCCACGTGTAAACGACAGACATTTTCCTCGGGGTTCGTAAAAAACGATATTTACAATGAATATCCAAATATCCGATATATATCATGCATATGAAAAGTTACATATTTAAGCTGCTAGTGGCTTTATTTAATATTTGATCTTGAAAAACAAAAGTGTTAAACAAAACTTGAGTTTGATTTATTCAATATTGTTTATTTACCGTTTCGCACTTCGCCTTCATATTACGGGTTAAACCCGATATTTCTAGATATATAAAAAAAAAAACAAATGATTGTCACAAAAAAATTACTCGACATAAGTCCCATTATCTTCAGTCTTCATAACATCATTCAACACCTCGGTCAAGTTGAGCAGTATCGCCGGAAATCGCTGTAATACCGTCGGGTTCTGAGTTGTCAACAGCGCAGCGAGACCGAGTCCTACAAAGAAACCAAAAAATTATGGACCAGAGCACGACTCATAAATACTAGTTACAGATAATGTGCTAAGACAATATATATTTATGGAGAAACTAACATAGAACGGCTATAAATAGTTTAATTCATTCCTCTCTGCTTCTCGAAAAATTAAAAAATATGTTTATGAAACTTATGTAAACATCCGTTTGTGGGTTCGCATGAATCTTCGTGAGCGCAGAGTAGTTCGACCAATTCCACGACGACTAAACATACGATTAAATCTAAAATAATTCTTGTTTCGATAGCCATAAGGTTTAAAATACAATATCACACAATATCCAACTCACTTACACTCGCCGACAATTGACGTGCTTTGACATTTAACTTTCTACTCAACTACATATGCCGTCCACTAATCACTGGGGTCACTACTATTAGGTACACTTGATTTGATAAGGGGGGCAGGGTAGTCAAAATCCTATGTATCACCAAGGGGAAAGGAGGGTCAAAAAACATCACGTGATTAACGGACGGCCCTATAGGTGAGTCATATCTTACATTAATAAAAGTGAACTCAATCCGCGCACCAATAGTTGTGAAGCAAATCAACTGTCGCAGAACCGACAAATAAATAGCTGATCCTATAATCCTATTTTATCCTACCTCGAGATACAGAATCCTAGAATGAAATAGTGAACTATATATCAGTACAAATAAGATCCACTTTTAATAACTCACCAACAACCTTCCACCTTTCTACCTGCGTCACCATATTCATTTTCTCGGTCCACACTAGTAGTAATCTGTTCAATAATTTGGATGGGTCGGAATCGTATTCTGCAAGACCGTTCGCCGCCTCTTGCACGGCTTTGTAGAACAGGTCGGAAGACAGCAGTATAACTCTTGAAACCAAGCACAGTTGTACCGACAATACCATTGGCAGGTCATCTCCTTCTAACAGCGAGCTAAAAAATAAAGACAAATTCATGCCATTCAACCCACCTACATAACATGTACATTTTATATTGCCACCTTGCAATGTAAAATGTACAGCGAAATTAAACAGATAAAAGTATGTTGGTCATCAACATTACTTTCCGATCTGTTTCAATTTCAGGCACTATAAATAACTCATGTAAACGTCCACCTCACATAGCCAAATGAGCTAGTCAGTATTATTTTTGGTATGTAATAAATTTCATTTGTTGTGCTGTAATTATGGTGTGCTTTTTTAGTTTCTACATCTTTCTATACTTTTCGAATCTCCGATGCTCGTATCGGTATTGTATTGGCCAAAAGACGTATAGATGCATCCCTAGTTATCGACCTCCGTAGCCAAGTGTCGGTTAAGTGATATCGCTTGCAGTATCTGTTTTTCATTGCTCTATCCTATTCTATTACATAGAACTGCCATTTGCTAGAGCGAGAGATAGCACGCCATGGAATCCTCGAGGTGAATGACCTGACATTCATTTATAAGTTATAAAGAAAATCCGTGACCTTAAAAGTTCATATTTAAAAAAAAAGGATTTAAGAAGTTAAGTAGTGGTGAGAAAAAATATAAATAGTAGCAAATTCCCGTCGGCGTTCACTCGGTAGTTGGCACTGTAAGGTTTAACAACTCCTAAGGATGCTACATGGAGGAGCGAAACAAGTGTAGATTGGTGATTTTTATGAGGTCTTGCAGATACTGACTGGGTGTGGAAGTTACTAGATATCATAGTTTCACAGTTATAGCTATGGACTTCCGCAAAATAGCGGCTAATTCTATTCAATATCTTCTTTTTAAGAGGGTAAAAGTAAATCAAACGAAAACAAATTTACTCACTGTATAACCCTGATTAAAATAGGCCAGATGACTTTCACACCAAGCAATGCGTTTCTCTCTGGGAAAGTGACACTGACACATATTTCCGCCATCTTTAATGTGGTTATTACACCTTCGGTTCTCATGTCCGCTAACATATCATCTAATAAGGCCATACATTTTCCACCGGCGCCTGTTAAGAACTCTTCTGGACATAAGAGAGTGTACGCCTGCATTATGTATACAACTATACGTAGGTGCTCCGATGACTGTTCTGTAAGGGAAATATCAATGTATAAAGATCGGTACACATCAAACAGAAAATTCGTCTAGAGCCACGGTGGGCAACAGCCGGCCCGCGAGAAATTTTGAAAAACCTAATTTACAATAACATTGTCGTATTATTTCATGTCTGATATCCGTCACAAAAGGTTATGTGCACTACAACACTACTTTAAAATGTACTACTTTTAAACGCAGCCCGTGAACATATTTGCACACTAAAATTTGGCCCACAACATGTTAAAGGTTGTCCATACCTGGTCTAGAGCGTATCAACAGAAGTAAAATAAATATCAACTGTTTGACCCATTTCTAACGATAATCGAACGTACTATTAAAATTTATAACGAGTCGTAGGGTGTAAAAAACAACGCCTTAAGTATCTGTCTCACTCACACTCAAATCTGAATGGATGGATGGATTTTGGCCAATGGCGTTATAGTTTAAACATTCTGATTGGTCGACATTTGCCACGCTTTGAAATTTAGCCTTCTGCGCAGGTACATAAACAAGCCATATCAGTTTGATCTTTCTTTACTTGCCGTTTGCATCTAGTTGGCCGTCGACAAAAATTACCAAATGACTTCATAGCCACTTCAACTGGTACCTCCAGCAATGAAATAATAATTGATTAATTACTAGGCTATCTATCATGTAAATATCATTGAACTTAACAAAACCATTATTTAAATGATAAAAACAACAATTCTTTAAAATAACAGGAGCGACAATAGCGACCTGCACGGATAGACGTACGCGATGGTGTTGCTAACGGTACTCAAGAGTCCGAGATGATGAGAAAGAAAAAAAGAGAAGCAGGAAATGTGATAGCTGCTAACTTGATGCAAATAGCTAGTATTCGTTACGACATTTGAAGCACTGACGAAGTATCGGTTGAGTGTGCAAGTTTGAATGTAATGTTTGGATATTATTTGTCAGTATATTTCTAGTCCCATATGCACCAACCCTTATGTTTTGAATTAAAAAAGTTCCTACATATTAGCAATGGAAGTAGATACTATTTATAGAAATTGAAAATCGACACCATTTATCCAATTCTGGGAGGCATAACCAAAGCATTAAAGCATTTGAACAGTCAAGAGCACTTCAGTTTATACAATTCTGTCAAATTTCTTCACTTCATTTTAAACCTTAATGATTCGAGTTGAAAGTTGAATAACTTTTATGTTTTTCTTAAATGACAAAATTTGAAAGTTTCATACACTTACCCAGTATAGGATATAGGTTGTCCGCTAACTGTAAAAGAACCGGATCTGAAGTATGAGAGGTCTCCAGTATAGCAAGCCACAATTCCAGAGCATCTTCTAGGAGATACACGTGCGCCGGTTCAGTCAGACGCGTCGATTCGTTCACCACACTTAGTATCCAAGGCCTAATGCTTAGTGGACATTCTCCTAACGCCTGTATGGTCAAAATGTACCTCATAAATTATTCATTATAAATAAATCTAGACAGTTGGCTGACTGTCACCATCAAATAACAAACTAGAAATGAGTTAAAAGTTTTACTTGTTAAGATGTTCGTATACGTTCTTAAGTCTTGTATAAAATATTTTATTTTAACATTTGCAGTAAGTAAATATAAAATAGAGCAAGCCTTTTTGGATTTTCTTATTATAACTAGAATCTAGTCGAGTTGCAAATATATAACATCCACGAAAGAAAATTTCGTTGCACCAACTTAATTTCACAATAAAAAACATCTTAAAGTACCGGTTAAGAAAATAATAATGAGTCATCATTTGTTAATGGTTGAATAACGTCATAACTTTAACGCTGGTTAAAGTTATTGTTAAATATGGTGGATATGGTAGACGGATGGTGCAACGTATTTTACAGTCAATGTTTAAGTCCGAGTACTGTCAAATTTGACATAAACCATAACTTTAACTGCAATTATAGTGCAACTGAGACTTACTTTAGTTTGAATCCTGTTAAATTTAGTTAAGAAAATTACACAACAGAATTGCTACCACTGGCTATCCTTACTGCTAAGCTAGACTTGTGACACAATTCGTGTCAGTAGAGTAACGTGACATGATATACATAACTTCATTATGTGAGAATAAAATCCTTGTGTTGGTGAGAGTACATACCTTGTGTAGATAAGTACTTAATCAAAGTATGTAACCTTGATTAAATGAGAGTACGTACCTGAAATAGGTCAGAGTATATACTTCAAGTAGGTGATAATACATACCTTGAGTAGGTTAGAGTACATACCTAGAATAGGTGAGAGTACACAAACATTACCTTGGGCAAATGAACGGCACTGTTACACAATGGCGAGCGCAGCGGCTAGCAGCATGTTGTGTGCATCGGAGGCGACGTAAATCACAGCTGCGGTGAGTGTACATAACAGTAAGTATCTTGAGGAGGTGAGAGTACATACCTTAAGTAGGTGAGAGTACATACCTTAAGTAGATGGGAGTACATTTCTTAAGTAGATGAGAGTATGTACTCCACCTAATTGAGGTATGTACCTCAATTAGTACCCAAATTACCCAAATTGAGTCCGTGATATAATAATGTGGGCATGTCAGAGTACATGCTTTGAGTAGGTGTGAGTAGATACACACCTTGAGCAGGTGCACGGTGGTGGCGAGCGCGGCGGCTCGCAACATATTGTGAGCGGCGGAGGCGGCGTGACTCCACAGCTGCGGCAGGTACGCGAACAGTGCGCCGGTGCCGCCGCCGCGCGCCACGCTCGCCCCACACCGCTCCATTATGTACGACACCACGTGGAGGACGTGCATTTTAGTGTCGCACTCCTCGGATTCCACCTGCCAAATGGAATTTTAGACTCAGGACAACAGCCGGTCGAATCAAAACAACATTAGAAAAAAGATAATTGAATGTATAACTCATTCTCAATGAAGCGTTAAGATTTAAAGGTTCATTAAAAATTAGCTGATTGACTTCAAATTCTTGAATTTTTGCACCGAATTTACTATATATTTTTAACATTTGTTGACATTTATCGATTCTTAAAAAATAAATACTTTTATTGTATTTCTAACGTCGGTTATAAATTTAACAAGTATTTAACTGAAAATATACTAACCATATGTTAACTAAATTTTATTTATAGAAAAAAAATATTTACCCATGTTATTATAAATAATGTTTGATAAGAGTGTACTATAACCATAAAAAAAGGCTGAAAAACAATTAATAGTTTCGTATCATGACTCACCAAAAGCTCATAAAGCGCTGCGATAGCGTGAGGCGCGTATGGAGCGAATTGTTCTACGTCGAAGTTGAAATCGTCGATGGTGCTGCGTAGAGCTTCAGCGGCCGCCAGTTTCACAGCGGCGTCTTCGTCCGGTCGAGACAATGGCTCCAATAGTGCCTCGTACATGGCCGGCCTTAACGATTGAGAAGCACGGACGCCGCACCATTGACCTACAAAATTGACCAATGGAAATCTGACGGAAAATCTGTCGAACGTATCACGGAAATATGTGTACGTGGAGTGCAGTAGACATCCCTTAAGTATGCAAAGTTGAATGTCCTACTAGTATTATAAAAAAAAACTTATGTATATGTATTTTTGTTACTCTTTGAGGCATACACTAATGAACGAATTTTGTTGGAATCTGGTATATATATATATAGTTCTATGCTTGAATTATATGTTAAGTCGAGCATAGAACTATCTTAGGTTACTATTTATCCCAGTAAATGGTTCCCTAGGAATGATAGTACAATCAAGAAACATGTAAACGGGCGTGGAGCACGCTCAGACGAGAGCGTTTTCGGGGGAATAAAACAAACAAAAGAGAACTTGTTTGTTTTGCCGATTTTTTGGGTCATAACATGTACAAGTGCATTTTGCAAACAGAGCAGAATATACCTAATTTACAACTAAGTAATCTGACAGATATGCAGAAACATTTTTCCGACATAACGGCACGCCATGGACCGTTTTCCAGGTCACGTTATAACACAAATCAAGAAACTCAACTTGAACTTTAATCATGTGATTTAATTACTCAATCAGAATATGTATGTATACGTTTATTTCTATTACCTATATAATTTGTTTTGTAATTTAATAATTTATTTTTCACAGCAGAATGTACCCTATTTTTTTTAAGCTGATTCCAAAAAGGGAATCCTGATTTTATCAATAACTACTAGTAACATTGAAATGGTTATCGCTATTTATTACAAACTCGCTTTCCGCCAGGGGCTTTACTCGCGTGGTCTTTATGGAACCGTTTAGTGAGATAAAAAGCAGCCCATATGTTAATTCAGGTTTAGAATTTAATTTAATAATTCATTTCAATAAAGTTTAATATCATGACACAGATATACTAACAAATTGAATAATAAACAATAGTAACGTTTTAATTCACTATATAAACTTTCACTCCCAATTTCATCCCTTTAATTGCTGTTTTTTCAGGAATAAAATATCCACCGCATATGATGTAGCCTCCCGTAGGTGAATTTTTAAAATCATTCCAGTAGTTTCGGAGCCTATTCGTTTACAAACAAACAATCAAATCTTTCCTCTTTGTAAGATTAGAATATATTAATAATATCTCACCAATTAATTGACATACTCGTCTCCTTATGATCCTATAATTGTTATCTTTGATTTTCAGCTCTTGACTAAGAACATTCGTAAACCATTCATCAAAGTCCACCTGAAATATATTATAAGATTATTCAAGCACCAGACATACAAGATACTATATAGATGAACAAGGGCTAAAAATAGTACACCTGTATATATCTGACTTAATCGATTTATTGACATACTTTTAGATATCGTTTTGGCTTAGTATTTTTAAAACTTTTAAAGAAAGAAAACTTTCTTACTTTCAAAATGAATAAAAATTTGATCAAAAACCGAAACTATTACCCGTCATTTAAAAAAATGCAACAAACTTATATATTACTACATCTACATGTTGCAGGAAAAGCTATTAAAATGTCTATGTACAATTTCAAAATTTAATATTTTTATGGACACTATGGAGTCTGATCTGCACTAGGCTGGTTTTCAATAAAATAAAAAAAGGCAATCGCAATGTTAAATACTCACATCGTCATACAAATCGAAAGCTGCGAGTCCCACTGCGTTATATATGGCATCCTTTTTCAGTATAGAGGGAAGATCATCCGGAAGAATCGGCCTCTGCTGTAGAGATGCCAATAAGCGTACCAACTCTGGAGCTAGTACGTTACGGAACTGGAACAGCTCCATGAAGAGCGCTTCAGTGCACGGCTGGAGGAAAGTAATAAGTTTTGTTTCTTACATTTTCGCGTACTTTACCTATTCGTTAGCGCGTTCGAACTGCGATGGGGAAATTAAGCAACATCCGCAATGGTCAGTCATAGGATAGATGATCAAAATTTTATTATCTCGAGTTTACGGAGCTGCTTTGGAAGACATTTATACTGTTGGTCCGGCTACATCAAACCGCACTGAGTCCATATATTGGTTTATGGCTCATTCTGCCTATTCAATTTGCCCCAGCAGTGGAGACATTAATACGGCTGGCAATGATGACGAAACATTATTATTCAAAAACGTTACGAAATCGTGAGTCTATCAATAGTAGACATCATTTTTAATCGATTCTTTCTTTTGCTTAATCCTGTTTTCCTTTCAGCCAACCTCAGTTTGCGCTTTTTCAATCGTTTTATTGTTCAATCAAAAAAGATGAGATGGCATGAAGAGCTTCATGTGCTGATTACTACGATGATATTTTTAGGAAATATGTAAGCATAGTTGAGTTGGCTTGCATAGCTTGACTCGGATAAAAATCAAAAAAATATCTAAAAATATTCTATGAAAACTTAATAACAAACACTTCTTTCAAGTTTGATGCAAACAATGAAAAATGTCTACCCTAAGACTGTACTTCCAGGACTCCCCAGCTTCGTCGGTGGCGAAGCTCTCGGGCTCCGCATCCCACAACGCCAAGTCATCAGCGCTGAGGACGAAGTAGTGAGTGACCAGGTGCCGGCACATATGACACACGGTGTTCTGATCCAACACCTCCATCTTGGCTTGATGAGCTTGCAGTGTCACTATGAAGGGACAGTTGTTACTACAATCAGATAGACGCAATAGAAACAAAACTGTTAAAAATTTGAAGAACTACAGATATGTCCATTGATAAGTTTCTACTAACTAATATGTCTGCCGCCCCAAAACCTGTGTAAATTAATGGAAAAAAGTATGAACCAGCGATAAAATTATAATAAAATCTAACATTATATTTATGTAAACACAACATCAGCTCTTCCTACATAAAATTATTATTTTATTAACATTTGTAAGTGAAAATTTCTTCCCAAATGCATCGACCAACGAAACTCCACCCATCTTCTTTATTACGTGGCTTAGGAATAAACAAAACTTTTAATTATTCCTAATCCACGTAATAGCTTTCGATGCCGTTTACACTGATAATAACCAACTTGAAGTAATTTTGTGACAGATGCTAAGTATCTTATACCCAATAAATATGACGCAACAAAATTACTGTTCCTTTTAAAAGACAAATTAAGTGTATTCATTTAAAAAGGTTTAATACTCACAAGGCTCTCTCACAGGCTCAACTCCCTTTGGCAACCTATACTCAGCACACTGTAAAATCCCCTTCACAATATTTAGGCATTGTATAGTGAACCTCTCGTAAATGAGCGCCATGCCTTGTTCAGTGAAGCAATAGTAAAGGGCAAACTCTAGTGAGGGTCTGATCAGAGGCACATAGGAGAAGGGGTGGTGCCCGAGGACTCCAAGAGCAACCTTAGTAAGGTGGATTATGAACTTTTCGCACAGCTCTAAAGGATAAATGCCCCTGCCTTTAAGAAGTTTTCCTGCAATCAAAAATAAAATGTGTACCATCTCATAAAAATAGATATATTTTCAGAGCTCTTTTTTCTTTAAATTGCAAATAGGAATGATTTCTCAAGGTTTTCCTCATGGATTTCGTCGTAGAAATCATTGGGAAATCATTCCCAATAATTTAGTATCTGATCTAATTTTTAAAATATATTAATAAGTTCGCAATAACAGCCAGAAGTCAGGTATTATTCTAAAACAAACACCAACTGACTATAAACTTAAATGTTAAGAAATTATGGTTCCAAATTCATTACACAATCGCAGCAATCTTCTGTTCTGTTGTGTATAGGTACAACTCAATAATAACTTTTTGAATGTATACTCACTGCACTCCAAACTGGTCTTAGCTCTGTCAAAAACCACATTCAAGAATGCAACAGCATCCTGACTTTCATGTGCCTTCTTAAAGCCGAAAACTGTAAGCTTTCTTAATATCCTTAGACAGAGTAAGGCCTTCTCCAGATGCTCAGTGATCAACTCAGTAGCCGCTCCTTCTTGTATATGTCTCAAGAATAATTCTGTGTTCTCATGCCATAGATTAAGTATGAATGCAAACACTGAGTTGGTTAGTTCCTAAAAAGTACAGTAAACAATTACAACCTAACCCAACTTATATGGTGCAATGATCATCACTTGTGCAGAGCAGACCTAGCAATTTTGACTAATGTATGATCAAAATTTATAATGACTTGTTTTAATAATAATAAAATAACCTACAAGGCAATATATGTCAATCTTACTCTCACTCAGCAAGCAACTAAATCATGCTAGTTGGCCGACATTTACCACACTTGAAAGATATTAGTATTATTTTACTTATGTTATTTGGAATAGTACATAGTTATTGTGAGACGTAACTGCAAATGCTGCCGCGTCATTCAATAACACTACGATGATAATTTATAACCTAACAAACAGTTATAAATTAGGCTAAATTTTAACTATTATTACCTGGAAAACTTTCCGGTCACCAAGCAACCGCTTGGAAGCTAAAGCTTTGACCAAATGGTGGAATATCAGTAGAGATCTATGTTGCACCAGGGGTTGGGGCGCTTTCAGAGCTCCAACAAGGTCTGGCACTAGGTTAGGCCAGTGGGCAGGACAATCCAACCTTTATATTTAAAATTCATTAAATATATTTACACAACATTAATGTTGCACCAACAAATTTCGAGACAATTGTTTTCTTTAATCATCTTGCAAAATTAACCAGCAGATAATTAAAATGATGCACTGCTCCATTTTCAAGTTATATCAAAAGTTATATTATATTGTAAACAGCTAAGTTTGGTGGTTGGTGGTTGTGTGGTTTATATATTAGCAAAGCATGTTTCAGTGGCTCTAGTTTGTTAGACTTTTAACCAAATAAAGTTATAGTTAAATAAAAAGTAAGTTAACATAAACATACCTAGCTATTTTAGAAATTAAAACTGCTTGCTGAGTTGCAATTTGTGTAATGGGTTCATTCAGTATATTAGTATTGAGGAGACCCTGTCTTAACTTCTGCTTCTCCTCATCTGTAATTGCATTCGGTGCATTCTTTCTCCAGTACCGATCGACACCATTCTTGAAGCACATAACCGCTAGCCATCTCACATTTATATCTATTGAGTGGTTAGATAGAATATCCTGGGGAAATATAAAAGTATATAAAATCATAAGTGTCTGTGCGTGCGCAGCCTTCGGGCTGTGGTTTTAGGGAGCGTTTAATTATTACACAGTTAACACAGTTTTTGGTGGAGGGAGGTCTTGATTAACGCTACGATGCAGTGGCGGATTTATAAATTTGGCGCTCATAAACTATTCAATTTTTGCCGCCCCTAATGAGCTCTAAAATTCGATTAGTTCACTATCATATTCGTTACATTTATTCTATTGATGCAATTACAACTTTATGATTTGAGCTCTATAGTCCTCATTACATCGGCCTTTTGCCGTTATTAGTATGATTGTGAATTAGGGGATGGTTCTATCAGTTTCTAGATTATTTTTACGGCCCACGATTTAGTGAATAGTACATACGATTGAGCAAAAAACAGTTTTTTTTTTATTTTCCTAATAAAAAATGCTTAAAAATCTACTTTGTCCTGGTATTATAAAATGGTACTATAAGATAGGATTTGAAACTACGACCTTTCGCAATCCATAGAGCCATGGTGACCAAAAAATTATTATCTCGAGCTACTCCGTGTTTCGGAAGGCATGTTAAGCTGTTGGTCCGGCTGCGTCTGCAGTCGTTAATACCATCCAATCTGTATTAGGCCCGTGTGGAGGATCATGGCTCATCGTCTTTAAACACCCATAAGGAAGCTCTGAGCTCCTGCAATTGAGTTGAGAAGTAACAGGGCTGATGATGATGATGATGATGATGATGATAGAGCCATGCGAAGTGCAATTTCCAAGTTTATTTCTTTATTTATTTTATTGCATTCCACAATGTAGTATTAAGATGTTCATAAAAACAAAGTATAAAGTTTGTATAAAAGTTCTCCAAATTCTGTTTTCGCAGTAACAGAGAAACACTTTATAATGATCCATTTGTTCCCGCGCCGCAACTCAAAACGACTACATAAATGCATACGTACCTAGTAGAATAGAAATATTCAAATGTAAAATAAATATGTCACATAAATAGAATTTAAATTGTAATACACTATTGGAATATTATAAAAATTAATTATCACATAAGTACCTATATTTTACAAAGCGTTCGTAAGGATGTTCAGTATGGAAAGATCGCTGTTATATTGCACATTGTGTATATCTTACTTTGTTGTGCAATAAAGGGTAGAAATAATATATATAAAAAATGGTGTTGTGCAATTAAGGGTATAAATAATATATACAAAAAATGGGTAAAATTTCCCGCCCCATAAATTTGCCGCCCTAGGCTCCAGCCTATCAGCCTGGTAAATCCGCCACTGCTACGATGCGTTACATGGACGGGGGTACTTACATTCTACATAAAAGTTTATTATTAATTCACTACTAACCAGCAAAACAGAATAAAAGCCAGGTTCAATTTCCCATTCTTGCAGCTTCTTTTCAGCCGGTTTCAAAATTTCTGTGTCCTGACTTGTTGCACGATTAAGGGTATCAAGGACCAATGCATAAATGCTTGGATCCATATTTAGCTATCTGTAACCAGAAGTATGATGTTTCAATGTAATGATAACGTCAAGCTTGTTTATTTGTTTGCATAGAAAAGACTATGAAACTACTAGACAATTTGAAAAATTAATTCTTATACAAGCAGCTACATCTCACTCTTATGAATCTAAAGATTTTATGAATATGGCATGTACAGCTAATTTTGTAATAAGACTTTTAGATGACAAAACTTTTGGTTAGGGAAACTTATTTTCTTTAAGGCCCAAATACACATGCTATGTTGTAGTACATATGCATGCTAGTTTTGAGGCTTTGCTGTTTAATTTTGTTTATTTTGGTACTTCATGATAGCTCAATGTGGTGATGACAAAACTTAACATGTCACATTACCTTACCATAATTATGAATGTTTGTGAAATGTAGTCAACAGCAAGTCAAGTTAGACAAAGCTGTCAAATTTGTCGACTCACTTAATGGTACATCATACCACACCATTTATTTTGTCCTCTAATCATTACGATCATTTCTTCTTTATAAATAATAAAAAAGCTATTTGTAATTTAGAGTAACAGGATATGCTCTTTCTGAATGCCAGTTCATGAAAATTTCTGTACCAGTACATAATATGTTTATTATAGTAATTTATAATATATTTTAAATTAAGTGTGTAAAGTAAATCTATATAAGAAATACATCAAGTGAAATAATAAGTTCTGCATATAAAGGAAAATCCATAAACAGGGTATGAAATTTTATGTTTTTACAGTTTTTTTTTGCCATAAATATACCTACTTATTCTTTATACAAAATAATTAAAAAATCCACTTGGTCCCTGGCACCCTGAGATGGGTTTCGAACCCACGACCATCCGCAATCTGGGTGACTGCTCTAACCACTGAGCAACTCAGGACCTAACAGGACTGAAGAATCTTTCAAGGACTTGTTACTTTTTGCTACTACAGAGTGTATTCTCATCAATGTTCAGGCATCCACCCAAACATCCAAAATAAATATTATTACAAATATAGAAACTTTCAATAAAGATGAGAATTTGTTCTAATTAATCAAATATATTTGTCAAGCCTAGTCAGCCATTTCATTTACTACCAACATTGAAGCAACCAAACCTGTTATAATTGTAATCCTTCATACTTAGAGGGTAGAGTTTGAGATTGCCTGCAGAAATTAGACAAACCTGACATGCAGTTATGTGTACATTCACAACAATATCACAACTTATAAATTTATCTTTCATTCCTTTTTACTAAAAGTTTGTATATTCAATTTGTTGAAAGTGATAAATCACAAAGAAACATCCATTTTGCATAGTTTAATGAGCATGTGTACCTCAGATGTGCTAGAAAGTGGAATGCTTATATTAAGTATACTACCAAGGTCTGTGCACACTCAAAGAGCATTCTATGTAGTAGCAAACAAACATGCTCTTTTAGTGGCATGTGTATTCCAGGCTTTATAAATGAAAACAATTTAAAACATGGCATATAAAAGCACCTAAGTGTTAAATAAGGATTATAAATAATAAAAAATTGCTTTCTAAAAAATATGTGTCAACTTTACACCTCACTTAAGTCAGAAACCATATCTTTATACAAGGGTTTAATTCAAGAAATATAATAAGAAGGGGGAAATAGGCTAAATAATAGGTATACCCACATTAAATACATTATATAGTACAATTTTATTAGTGTTAATATTCACATATCTCTAGATAGTTAGGCATGTTATCAAATAAAACACTGTAAAACTAAATAATAATCTCTTCAATGGATACATGGTCAATGGTCTTTTTAAACATTGCAATCTATAAATTGTGATCTGGACGTTGAACACGAGAGAATCAAGACAATCCCAAGATTCTACGAAACAAATTGTCTTATGCAATGTGTCATCTACTTTGGATACTGAAGCAAAAGTATATGTATCTAAGTATACAGGAGCCAGACTGTTGCATTAAAAACGTGAGAAAACTTCATAACGTTGTAAAATGAAACGTAGATGATGTTCGAAATTTTCAAATAAATGCAAATTATTTCGTGAGATATCAGTTAGTTATAAATTTCAATCAGAGATTGTTTAACAATAAGACAATCCAAATAGATGATTGCAAATACATAAATCTTACTAAATATTTTTTTACTAAGCGGTAGAAAAATCAACTCACTTTTCAAATTGAAATGACGGCAGACATAACCTAACACAAATTGCGTAAAAATGAGACGCAAAATAGATTAACGACTGTAAAGGTTCAACTATTTTTTATATCAAACCTCCAGTTTTTAAGAATAACCACATTAAATAAACACATTTGACTGGTCAGATAAAAGAATCGCCGTCTACAAAAACATGGTAAAAACACCGAAAGAAATTCCGACAAAAAGTACCATCGATTGCGATAATGTCAATGTCCAACAATGACAACTTGACACACACATAACATGATTGTGACAGTAAAATGACGTTTTTACTTTTGCGAATTAGTACGTAAAAAACAATATCCATAAATCCACATTAACGGCAAAATATTAAAATCACTAAAATGCCATTTGAAATTATTTTTAATCGATTTATATTTTATTTATATCAATATATGTAATGTTTAAGTAAGTTATACAACATATAACTTAAATACCTATATATTTGTATGGTTACGTATTATACAGATAATCATATTATCTTATCTCTGTTAATCAATTCTTAATTTGCCGAAATACAAATACCTATTTATTTATAGTTTGTAGTCATATAAACACAGTAGTCATACCTTTCTACCTAATATTTTGAGTTGTGTATTGATCATTAATGTAGTTCTTTGAAGTCATTCTCAAATTCTCTATTCCAAAATGACATGGGAAAACTGCGTAGTTAAGCTAAACAGTGATTCTACTGGAAGTTTTTATTCTGGAGATGTTGTAGCCGGCTCAGTGATATTAAAATTCAAACGGAAACAAAAGATAGAACGTAAAGTATTATTCCTTATTTTACAAACAAATACAAGTTGAACTACGTAGTCAAGTGACTACTAAATTTTTAGTCCCAGATTTGATTTCCAGTCAGTAGACCTGATATCGTACCTAGTTGTTACAGATTTCTATAAAACATTAACAGGTCATAATTTTGATAACCTTAGATTTCAACACCGTGATATTGATTATTATTGAGAATAATAAAACTATACATATATAAATAATATAATGGAAATCAATAACTAAAATGTCACAATTTTTCGTTTAAAGGAATAGATTTTGTAGCGTGTGGTTATAGCAAAGCGAGTTGGACAAGGCCCAGTGCAACGTTGCCACATATAAAATTCTATTCACAGAAGAAAAAGTTGCTCCACATTACCATCGACCTATTTGGCAACTTACAAGGTACCATGTAAAAGTAATTCGTGTGCATTTAACACAACATTATAGAAACTTGAGCGTCTTTTAATTGAATGCAAACCTATATAGTACCGCGGTAGGCTCTCTGCTGCAGTCTTCTTTTATTTATTAACCCAACCCAAAAAGGGTGTCTGTCTGTAGCACCGCAGCTCCTGAACGAATGAACCGATTTCAACGTGGTATTTTTTAATCGAAACTCATATCAATTGTTCTTAGCTATATTTTATGAAAATCGCATAAACTCTTTAAGAGTTCAAGTATTTTGCCAAGACCAGGTAGCTATTTTTGTATTATCTATACTTACAGCATCATAAACGAATAGGTATAGAACATACTTATGAGTAGAGGGTATTATAAAATTGATTATTATAAAAACCCCGAGCTTAGCCCTTTCCATTGCCCTCTGAGCGACCTTGAGATTCCTTATGAGGCCCATCGTAAGCGGCCACGTATCAGTTCCGTATGTCATCACTGGCAACACGCACGAATTGAAGACTTTCGTTTTGAGACACTGCGGTAGACGTTCCGAGAATACACTGCGTAGCTTCCCGAACGCTGCCCAGCCGAGTAGGACCCGTCGATTTACCTCTTTCTGGAAGTTGGACTTACCTAATCGGATTATTTGTCCCAGGTAAACGTACTCGTCGATAGCTTCCAGTGTAGAGCCTCCAACATTCACTGGAATGGGTACGACATGGGAGTTTGACATTATTTTCGTCTTCTCTGTGTTAATTTTAAGATTCAATTGTTGGGAAACTCTACAGAGGTCTTCGAGCATTGTGCCTAGATCTTCCGTGGTCTCAGCCATGACTACGATATCATCAGCGAAACGAAGGCGCGTCTTGTACTCGCTGTTTATATTGATACCACTCCATTCCAATAGTTTAAACACGTCCTCCAGTGCGGCACTGAACAGTTTCGGCAATATAATTGTCTCACTCCACGCTGAAGTCGTATTACTTTCGAGTTTTGGTCCTGAACCCGAACTGATACAAGACTTGGATGTATCTATTTGGCACCCCTGGAGTGACCTAAGCACGGCCTAGGTCTCGACGGAGTCAAAGGCTTTCTCATAGTCTACAAACGCCAAGTACAGTGGCAGATTATACTCCTCGGTCTTCTGTAAAACCGGTCGCAGCAAATGAATGTGGTCTTTGGTACTGTAACCTTTTCGGAAACCGGCTTGTTCGGGAGGCTGGAAGTCGTCAAATCTACGTGCGAGACGATTCGTGATGACTCTCGAAAACAGCTTGAACACATGACTCAGAAGCGTGATGGGTCTGTAATTCTTCAATTGGGACCTGTCGGCCTTTTTGAACAAAAGCAACACCACGCCCCTGTGCCATGCTTCTGGTGTCTTGCCCTCGAGCATGGCGGAGTTAAATAGCTTCTGAAGCGCTTTACGGACTGGTAGTCCACCCACTCTCAGAAGCTCCGCTGTGACTTCGTCATTCCCCGGCGTCTTGTTCTTCTTGAGCTGTTTGAGAGCCACACCAATCTCGTATAGACTTAAGTCCAGGATGTCTTCGGTATAATGTCGGGTTAATTTGGCTCTAGGGTCTGTAGACTCAATGACAGGTTTCTCTTATGTTGCATATAGCTGTCCATGGAAGCATTCGATCTCCGCCACAAACACAGGACGGGATGTAACGACTCTACCGTCCTCTGTCTTCAGCTTCGTCAGCAAGCTCTGATCTTGAGTATATTGAGTATTAAATTATTGAGCTATTGAGTATATTGAGCTATTGAGTATTAAATTGGCGTAGGTCGCGTGTGAGAGACTTCGAGATCTGTCTAGTGAGTTGCCGACGAGCATCTACAGAAGACTGCAGAACCATTCAACGCCTTTCCTCCATTAGCTTGCTTATCGGTTCTGAGATCTTGCTTCTTTTTTGAGTACAGCGAGGTTTGAGAAATTTTGAACCCGCCTTAAGGACAGCTTCTACGACCCATTGTATTCGTCCACATCCGACCAGCTCTCAAGGCAATCGAAGCGATTTTGAAGCTCGAGCTGAAAGTACTCGGAGTCTTGGATCTTGGTGGCTTCATGATGGATCGTATAGAATTCACCAGTCGATACCGTTTGGCTTTTACGTTTAGATTCAATGCGCCTCTTACAACACGGTGATCGATTCCCGTATTAAAGGAATTGATCACTGAGACGTCATTAAATATCAGAGTCTTAGTCGACTTGATGAAGTCAAGCTCGTTTTTTATCAATCGAAACGGACTCTTCCAGGTCCTTTCAATGCAGCCGTTTTCTGAAGAAGGAGTTCATCATATAGAGTCCCTCCCTCTCTATGTAGTCGGCTAGCATTTGACCATGGTGATTTCGGATTCCAGATCCAAATTGCCCCACCTTCAACTCCTCATCACCACGCTTGTCTAGCCTTACATTGAAGTCTCCCATGACAACAGTGTAACCATGTATTGTCCGAGAAATGTCCTCATACATGGCTTCCACTTTCTCGTCGGGGTGTTTCGAGGTCGGGACGTAAACCTGTATGACCCTCAGCGAATACCGTTCAGTGATTCTGAATATAAGGTACGCCAACCTATTCAATACACTTCCGATCTGTACAATATTGTTCTCGAGAGACTTGCGGACGATAAACCCCACACCACCTTGGGACTGATCTTCGCCCTCCCGGAAATAGAGCAGGTTGCCGGATTTAAGGATCATCATGTCCTCGCCCTCTCTTTGGACTTCGGATAATCCTACAATACTCCAACGAATCCTGCCCAATTCCTTCTCTAATTCCAGCAGCTTCTCCTCGGTCCGCAGTGTGCGTGCGTTATAGGTTGAAGGGTCGCTTGACGGGAAATCTTTGCCGCCCGGGGATTCTTCGCACCCCTGGTGCCTTTGCCGAGTCGGCATCCATCCGCGGCACTTAGGGCCTTTCGATTGGGTATATCATTGAATGGTTTTGGGCCGTCTCCCACCACGCTGGCCCAGTGCGGGTTAGTGGGGAGCGCCAGAGCCTCGTTGGTTAATCGGCAGGGTGTACCGCGTGCAGGTGAGGTAGGCTTGAGTTCCGTTAGATGTTGTTCGGACCCCCTTACACCCCCCCCTTAAAGAGATTATAAAGGATCGCATTCATGGAATTAATATCCTTCGCTTTGTTTCAAAATTACAGACCTTGAAAATTGTATTATTATTGTTATAATACGTACTATTATGATAATGACATGATTTATGTAAATTTTACAGATTATAGAGGCTATTTCTCTGTTTAAAATAGGGTGACAAAAATATGTTCGTTAAGTGAGACTTTTCATATGGTTTATACTCCATTCATTATAGCATTAGACAGAATGAAAATAAGGTTCTTTTTATGGTATACTTTGTGGCAAAATATCAATAACGTACAAAAATTACACTCTAAGCGCCCATGCCTACCCTCAACCATTGACATTTCAGGAAATTTTTCCAATGTCTTCATCAATAGTCTAGTTAATTACACTTACAATTAGAATTTATCAAAACAACAGATACAAAGTTTCAGTTTTAGTTCCATTTTGGCTTGGGAGTAAAAGATGAATTTATAAGATGCTGGTTATGTTATTTTTCTTTACTTACGTTCACAAGTCAAATAATTGTAAAAATTAGAGATGTTTTGATTATTTGGATCTACTAAAGTAATTGAACAGTAATTTATTTTTGTGCTTTAATAACATGAAATACAGCAAATAACTTTTTTTAATAAATACACTTGTTTTACCTGCAAAATAATTAGCCTAGAAAACTGGCCAAATGCAAGCCCAGTCGTGCACGAAGGGTTCCGTACCGAATACAAACATAAAAATCATGTTTATTGTATGGGGCTCCGATGTCATTTGAAAATGTTTTTTCTTATATATTTTATATTTGCCATATACCTAAATATTGACATATAAATAATTTATCCAAAAATTTATGCAATAAATTGACAAGCTAAAAGTTATTAAATTATTATAACAATATTGTAGGGCTTAATTTATAAATATTTCAATAATTAATAAATAATTTATGTCTTGCCTTTTAATTTGTCTATTGACTTTTGTGTTATCTTTTTATTTTCATACGACGTCACGCGGGTGTTATTTAGACAAGGTTTAAGCTCATTAGCAAGTCACAGGACTTATACCCAAGTGTTTCATAACGAAAAATATATTTTTAAAGGTTATTTAATTGAATTTTATAAGTTTTTCGGACAAATACTGCCGATAATTGTCTCAAGCGGCTTGACATTCAAATCACGAGAGATGATTATGGGTCGGTGGCGAGGAGCACAGTGTAAAATGTTTGTCTAATCCACCAGAATCGGTTACTTTATTAAAATTGTGTACGTACGTATATGTACGTATATGTACGTATATGAACTAGATATAATTATTGATGTTTAAGTTGAATATAAAAATGAATCGCCAAAATATATGTACGCGAAACGCCAAACGATTGCACCAAATTGAATGAATTTTTTTTTTGTGTTCCTTATTGTCAAGATAGAGTTTGTATATAAGAAAATGTATAATAAGATATAATTTATAAATAACGGGCATATGGCGGTAGGAAATTTCACCGGATAAGCTAGTAAAGAATAATTTTAGACGTCTCAGCAAGCCATACTACATAAATTACAGCTCAATGGTTTTACAGCTTTTGTACTTGTTTCAGGTAAAACAGTGGAACAAGGAGAATACGAATATCCTTTTTGTTTCGCACTGCCGAATGATTTACCTTCATCTTTTGAAAGTTCTATTGCAAAAGTGCACTATCGTATCAAAATAAAATGTAGTGGCGATTGCAAACATAAAAAAACGCTACCATTCATTGTTTTGGGAAATGTCAATCTTAATCATAAAGAAATATATTTGGTGAGTAATTATAAATTTGTAGTCATCACATATTATTCCATACAGTAATACAAAAACGTATTTCCGCCTTTATTCCAAGAGTACAAGTGGGTAGGTGTTTATTTCAGAAAACCATGAGAACACTTGACTCCCAAGATTTTTAAATAAACAGCACATCAAATTATTTACCAAACCGATCCACCTACTTTAAAACCGGAAGTTTGTTATGAAATATTATAATTGATTCAATCAAATTATCATTTCTTTTCAATCTTACAATATAATTTCTGTTATTAGAAAAATATAACAAGTGCTATACTCCCCTTATAAGTATATCCAGGATTATTTCATAATTATATTTCTATTTACAGCTACCGTCCTATCATGAAATAAATAAACGTTTATGGAATACAGGGAACATTTCGTTAACGATCAAAACTTACACAGGGTTTTCTTCAAGACAAAATATACCTATCGACGTAACAATAAATAATGAAAGGAATGTTAAATTATATAAACTCAGTGCTTCCTTGATTCAGGTAAATAGAATCCTCATACGCAATTTACCGCCAAACATGTAAGCACATAAGACAACACTGCTTTTTGTTCAATAAGGAAGTATTTTAAGAAAAAAAAAAGAAAGCACTAAAAAGCACCTCACTAGATGGCGACTCTAGCAAAAGTTGATGTTTGCGCATGCGTAGCATGACAAATTTTAGTTTTTTAATATGTTAGTTAAAAGGAAAGGAAATGACTATGTATCTTTGGTCCATTCGTTTCCTGCACGCGTAGCAAGACCAACTCGAGAACGCTTTGTCTACACTCATTTGTTAGTTTCTCGGGTCGAGAGTAAGATATCCTATGGGTGAACCCGAGAAAAGTGACATGTTCGAAACTTAGATACCAATATGTACAGATAGAATACGAGTTGTTTATTGAGTTTTGGAAATTAATTTACTTTTATACATGAAAGAAAACCGGAAGGGTTGACTCGAACAAATCAAGAAAGTAACAAAGCGACATCTAGTTTGATTTCGGGAACTAATAGTTTTTTTTAAATACTTCTTCATTAGAACAGTCCTGCAACACAGTGTTTTAATAAATAGATGTAATAAATATACAGCGACTAGATGGCGGTAATGTAGTTTAGTTTGTTAGTTACATTGACCGGAAACGATAAATATCAAAATGGATCGTAATAAAGTCTATTTTTTGTTCTTTTAGATAAAGGTACAATGGGTCTGCTGTACTGTAACTTAATAGTTGCTATTTTATGTTTTTGGGTCAAATGTGAAAAGTAAATGATGTAAATTTTGCTTTACATTATGAAATTAGTGTCATTCAGGATGAATTAAGTTTCACGAAACTTATTTCTGGACACAGGCTCCGTCAACATCGAAGTTGATTATGTACAGATGGTGTCGCGACACTTCTTCCGGATGACACTAGTTTAATTAAAATAAGACCAGTCACGAAATTACACTAGTGATAGGGTTGTCAGGTGGGGAGACCAATATATCTGGGCAAAATTTGAAAACTTTGGGATTTTGGGATCACAGCCAGGACAAAAAAAAATACTAATAAAAAAATACATTTTTTATAATAAAATTTTAAAACTAAAACAAGTATCTACTTTTTTGGCAAGTTAAGTATAAAGACATAACTATATAAAATTTAAACAGCTAATATAACTATTCGAATTCGATTTTATAGAATCTAACAATTTCTTTCGGAACGTATTTGTTTTTTCGGGACTATGGACATCATACGAAATGTCTGGACAAACCAGATGAATCCCGATCATCTGGCAGCCCTAACTAGTGACGTGAAGCTAATGCATGCATTTTGTAACTCAGCATTTACACATGAAATTGCTAGTGAATTTAACGCAGTGAATGCAGAAAAGTGACGCAGTAATATCATGCCATCTTATGACTGGTTTATTTTACATGTATTGTACTTGATAAGTTAGTTGGTATGTAAACTTTGTCTATAAGTGACTTATTGTGTCCATACGTAATAAAGTAGTAAGTTCACTCAAGAATAAGATGAACGATGAACAACGAAAACAAATCGTAGTACAGAATGGTACTAAAAATTGTTATTGGAGTGTTGGAGAAAGTTAAAAATGAAATAAAAAAATTGTTCATAAATAAATATGTCGTGCCATACAAATAATGTTTTTTTAATACCTAATTTTTGTAATTACAGAAATTAAAGTACATTGTAACGGAAGGCTATGCTGACGAAGAAAAAAAGATATGCAAAGTATTTAAAAATAACTTTCAAAATGAGAACAAAGAAATGTGTCGCCTGAACATGGACATTCCACATTTAGTACCATCCAGCATACATACCCAAAATCCTATGGTTGATATTTCGTACATCCTTAGGGTATGCTCATTATAAATATTGCTTACAGCTACACTTACGTACAGACAACGAAATAATGTATAATATTTGCAGATTACACAAAATTAAATCGAATATTTTTTGACATTTCTTTGAAATTGGAAGTCCAATAATGTCACACGCAAGTAAATATGGCTTCCTTCATATGATTGTGTAGGTAGATTATTAATATCTAATCATTTTAATTTTTCAGATACAACTTCAATTTACATTTCGTCCTACGGACCTAACTGAAGATATACCTGTTATTGTTGCAACAGTTCCTGTACTACATACTGAATTTAACGAGTTTTAATCTATACATAAAAATGAATTCCTAATTCCTTTGGTCACGCCATCACACGTGAATGGCTGGACCGATTTCGCTAATTATTTTTTTCTGTTTATTTATTATTTAATGAAAAAAAATACTAGTTCCCGAAATCAACGGTACGTTCTTGATATCTCCATGACAACCCTTCCGGTTTTCTTTCATGTATAAAAGTAAATTAGTTTTCAAAACACAATAAACAACTCATATTCTATTTATAATTTTTCGTATTTGTATTGATATCTAAGTTACGAACTTTCCAAATTTCAGTTTTTTACTATGAAACTAAGCGTGGGAGAGCCATGCTTCGGCATGAATGGGCCGGCTCGACCGGAGTGATACCACGGCCTCACAGAAAACCGACGTGAAGTAACGCTGGCGTTGTGTTTCGTAGTGTGAGTGAGGGTACCGGAGGCCCAACCCCTTCCTATTCCCTTCCCTCTACCCCTCAACCCTTCCCTCCAAGGCCGGCAGCGCGCTTGTAGCCCCTCTGGTGCTGCAGGTGTCCATGGGCGACGGTAATCACTAATGACCGGATAATATGCATTTGCATATGCATTTGCATATATAAGCCATTTTCAAGGCTAATAGCATATTGTTACTAATATCTAGTGATGATGCATATTATTGCTATAATTTACAGTAGGTATTTTTCGAGCGTAACGCACTCGGCAGCCGCGCGTTCGCCTACCGCGCTACTCCCACCTATTATGCATGTTATTACTTTGATAGTTGACACGCTCGTGCTCGGATAATTGACCTGCAGTTAAAAGTTTTTGTGTGTACAATGCCTCCCGAAAAAAAGTGTGTCTTCGTGGATAAGTGAATTTCCTGGAACATTTACTTACGACGGAAATGTTTTATATTGTCGAGTTTGCGAGAAAAATATTTCGTGCACTAAAAAGTTTCAAATAGACCAACATGTCAAAACAAGTGTTCACGTCGCAGGATTGCAGAAAAAAGATCCACGACTACAGCTTATAACCGCTTCTGCTTCTAGCTCGAAATGTAAACAAAACAACCAGTTTAGCATGGATGTGAAGCATTGCTTGCAAGTAATATTCCTCTCCATAAACTAAAAATCCTATCCTCAATCACTTTCTGCGAAAGGAAGAAATACGTAATGAACTCAAGGAGAACCTTATTTGGATTTCAGCTGACGAAACTACCGACAGTTGTGGTCGTTATATAACTAATTTAATTGTTGGTACATTGAAACTAGAACCTTCTCCTTCCTATTTGGTGGCCTGCAAAGAATTAGAAAAAACAAATCATTGTACGATGGCCACATTTGTGAACGAGGGTATAAAAAAATATTTCCCAAATCATCTGCAGAAGAAAGAGTATTGATATTTCTTTCAGATGCTGCTCCCTATATGATCAAAGCAGCCAAGGCCCTCCAAGTATTTTATCCCAATTTGATTCATGTAACGTGTTTTGCCCATGGAGTGCATCGACTTGCTGAAGAAGTACGATCCACATTTGGGAATGTAAATAAACTGATTTCATCAAGAAAAAAAGTGTTTCTTAAGGCACCTGCTCGTACTAAAGCCTACAAAGAAAAAATACCAAATGTTCCTCTCCCTCCCGAACCAGTTGTAACCCGATGGGGGACATGGATAGAAGCTGTACTGTTTTACAATGAACATTTTGAGGCCATCAAAGGTGTAGTAAATGACTTTGACAGTGCCGAGTCAAGAGCAATTTGTGAGTCACAGACAGCTTTTAACGATTCTATCATAAAAAAATACATAGCTATAATTTGCACCAATTTTTCTCACATACCCGAAAGTATTAAAAAGCTTGAAACTCACGGTTTGGCATTGAATGAATCTATTCAAACAATGAATAAAATCCGCTATCTTAACTCCACGTTGCCGCATAAACTCAAAGAAAAGTTTGAAAACATTTGAACAATAATCCAGGCTTTGAACATCTGTGTCAAATTGATAGCTTTATTAATGGACCGACGGAAGTTTTAGTCAGAAAATATAAGCGCTAACATAGCACCCAAGTTCAAATTCTGCCCAGTTACCTCAGTAGATGTGGAGCGATTATTTTCGACCTACAAAAATATTTTGAATGATCGAAGACATAATCTTACCACTGAACATTTAGAACAATACTTGATTGTTAATGTTTACAAAAATATTAAATAATGTAACATGTTACTGTATCGATTAACATCTATCAATGGATAGTTTACTATAAATGTATGCTGATTTTTTAATAAAAAACCTAAAACTTAATAGTTTTTTATTTTATTAAAAAAACAATAAATTAAAAAGATACATACATAATAAAGTAAAACATAAAACAAGTATTTACTAAGAAAAAACTTAAATCTAAAGGAATAATATTTACAAAACAAAAAAAATAGTCATTAATGTTGCTTATTCTGTCAGTTTTCGTGCATATTTTAGGCATTTTTCATGCATATTTGCATGTATATTTCAAGCTTTTTATGTTGCATATTATCCGGTCTTTAGTAATCACTTACCATCAGGTGATCCGTCTGCTCGTCTGCCCCCTATCCCACAAAAAAAAAGTTAGTTAAAAGGAACGGAAATTCGTTTCCTACAGAAATCAACTTTTGCTAGAGTAGCCATCTAGTGGAGGTGCTTTTTTAGTGCTTTCTTTTTTTTTAATACTTCCTCATTGTTGTCAGGAGAAGGTTCTTATGAAAGAAAAAATAAGAAAATTGTTCTTTTTTTTGAAAAATTGTGGGAACTTTGAAAATTTAAGAATATTTAACCAACTTATAAAATTATTTCTTATCTAGGTCAGATTAGGAATAAGAATCCTTTATTTGCAAGAATGTGGTATAAAAATGAGATCTAAATTTTATAACTAGCATGTGTATCTGTGCTAGCACAAAACATCCAAACCGTTTGGGCATACAAATTATAAAATTATCAGTTGTCAACAGTAATGAGGAAGTATTTAAAAAATAAAAATTAGTTCTTTAAATCAAACTAGATGTCACTAGTGATGTTTGAATCTTGTCTATGATATTCATTCAAATTTTTTTTCTGACGTAATCAAAGTAAACTGAGTGTCGTACATTAATAAATATGTATCGTGTTTCTTCTAAAATGTAACTTTCAAATAAAATTTAATTTATTCGAATTTAAGTTTAAGTTATTTATTATGTTACGTGTAAAGGAACGATGTTTGGTTTATATTATATATACATAACATTAGTAATGAGTCAACTTGGTTGCTCATAACTTCAATTGACTCGATTTATCCGAATTTAGGTTTGGAATCAAGACCAAAAAGTGGAGCGCTGAATTCAGCATGTTTTTTTTATGTGCAGTATTTCCATATGTGTCATTATCAGAGGCCGGAATTAGGTAGAGTTATTTATATACTTGCATCAAAATGTTGATATTAATGTGGACCTTCCCGGGATTTCTAATGGACAATCCCGTGTGGCCAACAATCTTACAACTAAATAATAATAACAACGTCAGAGATAGACAAATTAAAGAAAGATAATTAACATAAAATTTTTATTAGTTTACATTAATTTACAATACAAATTATTGATAGTCTTAGGCAAATACTCATACGCATATTTCGCCTTTTTTATAAATACGAGCGAATACTTTTGCTTCTAGCCTAGACTCATGAGGTTTTGCCTATTCAAACGGCCCATCAGAATCATTTTCCTTGTCCGATTGATTACCAGTAAGATTTGAAGTGTTCGCTTCCGACATTACTGTATAACTTTTGTGAGAATTAAAATATATAATCATAAGCTGTTCAATATTTTTTGGCTTCAATGAATTTCTCCGAACATTTAAAATCCATTTGTACATTGAAAAAGATCGCTCTACGTCAACTGAGGTGAGGTTAACAAATTTATACACTTCCTCCTCCTCGTCATTAGTGCAGGAAGAAATTTTTTCTGCTATATTTCTGATAGTGTACAAATCAGGATTTCTATCCATGACTTTTTCCATTTTATCTTCTAAGCTATCACAATTTGCCCATCTCAAAGCTAATCTCACTGCATCAAATATTTCAAATGATTCCATTAGAGAAAGATCGGGTTTCTGTAGTGATGTCAAAGCTGTTGGTATAATTGAAAATTTTTTGTAAATACGAGACAAATCATCCTCGATGTTGTCATTATTATTAAAAAATTTTAAAGCATTCTCTATTGATTTTGCTTCTTGACTTTTCAGCACAGACAATACAGATTTAATTTCATCGAAATGCTTAGCGTAATAGAATGCTGCATCAAGCCAAGTACCCCATCTGGTAATTACAGGTGCAGGAGGTAAAGGTAAATCCGGACACATTTCTTTAAAGATTTTAATTCTTTTTGGTGCCTTCAAAAAAGACTTTTTTCATATTTGAAATTAAACTGTCAACATTTGGGTACTCTTTTCTAATCTGCCCCGCAACAAGATTTAGAGCATGGGCTAAACATGTGAAATGCAACATTTTTGGAAAAGTTGATTTTAAAATTCTACCAGCTGATATCATGTATGCCACTCTGTCTGTACATAATATTCTAACGTTATCTAGTTTGCTCTCAAATGAACTTCCCCACATATTGTTTAATGTTAAAATCTTGTTTAAATCTTGAACAAATTGTAATATCGTTGTTCCATTTACAGTATCTAGCATTTTACATGCCACTAAGTAAGGCTGATGGCACGTACTAGGTTGTAATGGTCTCACCAACAAATGTACGACAGCTCTTCCTAAGAAATCCGTAGTTTCGTCTACTGAAAGCCATAGCTTTTTATCTACAATCTTACTTTGCATCTCTTGTGCTTTGATTTTAAAAAGCTGATCCAGGTAAACTTTTATCAATAAGGATTCACTAGGTAGTTCAATATTTTTGCAATTGCAACACATGTACTTTTGAAAAAATGTTTTAAATACATTGTTGCTCAGCTGGGACCATGGTATGTTACAAAGAATCATAAATTCGATTAAGTCGAAGTAAAATTCTAAAGGAGTGTGGCGCTCGTTCTTCGTGCCTTTATGTACTGCTCCTTCTACATGTCTTTGGACGTTACTCTGACGAGTTGCATTCAAATGTGCTTCGGCATTTAGAGCAATAAATTGATCCACTTGCATGGTCGTAAAATAGCTCCGGATTATCTTTGATCCACTTGTTGACGGTGGTTTCTTTGATTGAACTCTGCGCCATGATAATACTTTTAATCTGGAGCAAAAAAATTATAAACTTTAGAAAACCGTATGAATGTGTTTGTAAGTATGTGAGAGATAGGGCACAACAGTTGCGAAGTTTAAAAGATCTAAGCGTGCATAAATTCATACAGATAGACAGACGGCGGGAAGCGAACTTTGTTTTATACTTAAGTTTAAAGCTAAAAAAGAAAATCTATAAAAGATTACCAGAAAATCTAACTCCAATCGTTAACCATATAGTCAATCAATTAAAAAAACGAGTCCCGTATGTTAAGCTTCTTCAGTAGCATTTGAAATCATTGTTACTTTATTGTGATTGTATCAAAGAACATGTTAAGTTAAACAATACCGATTTTGATAACAATACAAGAAAACGTTCTACATAGGGAAAATCTATTTTAAAGGAAATTTAATAAAAATATGAACAAGTAACTTACCAAGTATATCACGAATTTCAAATATCCAATTATCCAATACAGTAAGGCCAAATCAAAGTCCGTTAATGCGTGCCGAAATAGTCGTATTAAGTAGAGTCCAGAATCCAGTAAACGAGCCAGGGTCAAACAGGACACAATAGGAAACAAGTGAGCGCATTCGACGAACCGAGGTAAGCGAATGAGCTGAGTGAATGAGTAAACCGATTCATTGCTAATAGATAGTTTGAATGCGGTAGAAAGAGACATAATCTACTACATTACGTTAAGTGGGGAGTGCTCCGCATTTGCGCTATTGTATTCTTTTGTTCTCACAAGCTATGTTGTGCGAACTACAAATGTGGCAACATCGCGCGTATTGGTATTTTGCAACTTTGGACATCCGATGTCATTGATGTAAGTTTGGCAACGTCGTGCGTGCAGTAGTTTAAATTGTGTAAAAGTAAATAACTTTTTATTTAAAAAATTTTTTCTGCTCTTTAAAATTAATCTCGGTATTTGAGGCATATCCACTTTATTCTTTTGCTGTATGAAATCAGTGTAAGTACATGAATAACTCTACCTAATTCCGACCACTGGTCATTATCCATCCACTCGTCAAATTATATCAATAAAAATATCGAAATATAGGCTGTTACATAGTACTTGTGAAAGTTTGCCAACAGTTGGGATAACGAAAAATTTGTAGACCTACTATGGCATATGTATTTTATTTATGAAAACTCTTTCACAGTAATATTATTGTATAACGTAGCTAAACGCCAGTTTTGATAATTTCACTGCATTAATTCCATTGATTTTCATTACTTTTAAAAAATCTTTCGCTATGCTCACTTCCATTATGTTATTTTCCATTTTCGTTAATTCAAATAAAAAAGAAATTCATTCAAGGATTAGTTCATATTAATCGAGTTGCGTTTGCGTAACTCGAACTAATTTAATTTCAGCTCGATATTAATTCGAATTATCAGATCCATAACAACACTGACAATTTTATTCTCTTTGATTTAACATCATGAATTGACGTTAGGCGGGAAATCTTGTTCTGACAAAAATCAGCAATAAATTCAGCAAGGGCTGCTTTTTTAATTTCAACAATACAACTCAACTATACTATATTTGAGGGAACGTAACGACCTAATGCACACGACACCACCGCAAAGATTTTAAGAGAGCATGACTACTCTAGATACTTAGTAAATAATATATTTTAATAAAACTGATTCCTAGAGAAGGTTGTCTAGGAATTCAATCTATTATTGTAAGAAAAAATAAGCCACCATAAAAAAAATCACATACCCACCGTACGAATTAACTTAACACATGGCTCAACGTCCGCCGTCGACATGCAAGATCAGTAGCAATAGTATAATAACCGTACGTGTCTTTGTAATTTTAAAATCAAAAAGACACTTACAGTTCTTTTAGAACAAAAGTTTCTTGTTGATTGCTGAATGTTTTTTAAGATTATTTAATTATGAATAAAAGACTTAATAACTGATCACAGTTTTTTAGCCTTAATTTCGAAAGCGTCATAGAATACAAAGATATTGATATGCAAAGATGATCCTTATATACATATCGCGTAAGCATATAGATAATAAACGGATTTATTTATTATTATTTTCGTTTAAAATACTTTTGTTGCTGATTATTACACCTCATTTATTCATTCACCATACATAATATAAAAATATTATTGAGACTTGATGTAGTTTTGTTATTGTAAGTTCAACAAACAAGTAATAGCAATAAAACTAACTAATCTAGTTGTTAATGTTTTCAGAACTTTTGTTAAATATTATAATGAAGAATTATAGATTACAAGACTTACTATAGCAAAGTATGTTATTCATAAAAACTATTTGGCGGTAATATTATTGTATACTGTAGCTAAATGCCACTTTTAACTATGTCACAGCATTAATTTCCATAAATTTAAAAGAAAACCTCTGTGGTCACTTCCATTATGTTAGTTTCCATTTTCCTCTATAAAATTAAAAACAGATATTTATTCAAAGATTACTTTGTATTAATCGAGTTGTGTTTGCATAACTCGAACTAATTAGGTTTCAACTCGATATTAATCCGAGTTATCAGATCCATAATAACACCACGAATGTCAACTTAAACTGGATTGTGCAGTGTTTCATTAAAAACGGGCAGAGTGAGAGAGTAAATTAGTAACTCTTCATCTCTGTCTTAGTAGTTTCGTAGGATGTCCACGCGTTTTTAATAATTTCATAAATAGGTAATATTTAATAATGTTTACATGACCAAATTTAAACATTTACAGATGTAATTTTATAAATTTTTACAGATATTATGAATGATGATGTTAGAAATTTAACCGATAAATTAGTTTTTATTTATCGGTAAAGATATTTATTTTGTAGGAAATAAAACAAGTACATAAATGTTATTATAATCATCTATAATGTATAAATCAATTAAAAAGATAGAAATGTTTTTTTTTCCTATTAATTGTATTAGAATACAACGGATCACTTTGCCTGGTATTATTGTCCTCCATTTTTCAGCTAGACTTTTATCCTTTAGGATCCTAGAAACATAAGAGCAATTTTGTCATGGTCAGCATAAGAAAATTATTACTTTATAAATATTTATCCAAACTAATGTGTAGGCCATTCCGATATTTTCCAAAACATAATTAAGCCAGTTCTCGTTTTTCATTTTCCAAATAACTTTGTACCTACCGTGAAAATATTGATAACGAAGAATGGCGGGTAGCGTAAGTAAAACTTATAAATGTTTATAATATAAACGTATGAATTTTAATTTAAATCAAAGCCTCTTTGATATGGTTTTGTTTCTTGATCGTAGACACCCTATTTCATCACTGTTTAATAAATAAGGAAAACAGCTTACCTGTGGAATGTGAAGTCACATTCGTGATACCATTCATTTTTGCAATCAGCCAAGCAAAACAATATACCATTTTGATGTAAATAATCGAATTAGTAAGTCAAAACACAAATAAACATTAAACTTTAACATTGTTTATGTTGTCACATCGAGCGGCCATATTAATTTATAATATTGCTACTTAGATGTAACGAAAAACTACTAACACGACATCGGTTTACATTATAATTTTAATTAATTCACACTTTTACTTAAAAACATATCAACTATGTCTATTCAATATATTTACTAATAGATAATAAATAAAATTACCTAGTGATGTCTTTAAAAAATCAATAAAATCTCCTAATTGCCAATAACAATTATTTAATTTTCCAATGGCAACTCGTTAGACAAGGACCTACTACTACAAATCTAATATCTCTAGTAGACCGTTTTTCTACTCTGAAATGTGACATAGAAAAATAAACCTTATTTTATATTAGATAAAGTGTAAGTTTGATTTTAAGAAATATATCAGTACGCAATCCAGTTTAAGTTGACATTCGTGAATAATGGCCCGGCTACACGCTCCGTCTTGCCTGCGCAGTCCAAAACTGCGCAGTTGGACTGTACAAACGGACTGAACACCGCACAGTGGCCACACGTGCAGGTAATCTCGTGCAAACTGAACTGTGCAGTTACTAGTCATCGCATCGGTCAGATCGTGCACGCACCAAGTGATGTGGCCAGAAGAGAGTTTTTTATTAGCTGCACTAGTTTATTGCTTACTGGTAAAAAAGAAACAAGCAAACAAGCGACGCAGAAGAAGTAAATGGAGCAAAAAATGGTTGTTGCGGAGAAACCTACATTCACATATTAACTTAATCGAAGATTTAAGAGAAGATCCAGAAGACTGGCGAGGTTATCTAAGAATGGATGAAACTGCCTATAGTGAGTTACTGCGGCTAGTAACACCCATAATTAAAAAACAAGATACCATTATGCGCCAGTCTATATCACCTCATGAAAGATTAACCTGTACATTAAGGTTTTTAGCTACTGGAAGAACTTACAGGGACCTCAGATTCTCAGCAGCAATTTCCCATCAAGCATTGTCAAAAATTATTCCGGATACATGTAAAGCAATTTACCAGGTCCTACGGAATGAATACATGAAGGTAAGTGAAACGTGTTTATTATTCATGAAAGTTAAGGTTGGTAATTAGCAATAAATTGGGATAGGCTACTTAAATCATTTGGATCTATATTAAATTCGATGCTATTATTTTGTAGGGCGATTAACTGACTTTCTGGAACTCTTCTTGGTTGTGGCAACGTAGTTGCCGTAGAATTTTCGGACCTGTTGACTGGTATTGATATTATAGGTGGATTTACAGCCACATTCAAAGATGATGAAGTTGGTATATGTACGTAACAGTTCCTATTTAGGTTTCCCAGTTCTGCTTCAAAAATAGCATCATTTATGATTTTTTCCAGGAAAATTCTTTGATTATTCGGTAAACCTCAAAGCTTATGAGCTACGTTTCGTCCAAATGTATCGTGGCTGTCTTCTTTCGATTCATTCAAACGTTTTCCTATAGCAGATATTGTATCGTCCACCTCGCTGGCCCCTCGCTTTCCACTATGCCTTGGTGGAAAAGCTCTTGTGGTAGATGATCTTCCAACTTCATTTGATGATGATTGAGGATCATTGCTGTTAGTTGTAGACAGTTGCGATGACGGTCGTTGCTCTAAAGTAGAATGAACTGAAGTTGAAGGCTCATCAGCATTTAATCCCGTATCTGAAAATTCGTTTTGTAATGCCGTCTCGCTGTTATCCTAAAAGAAAAAATTGTTTTCAGATCCCAAAGACACAGGAAGATTGGAAGCAAATAGCAAAGGAATTTGAAGAGAAATGGAACTTTCCTCATTGCTTAGGCGCAGTGGATGGCAAGCATGTGCGGATTATTCCACCAGAAGGACAGGGTTCCTATTATTATAATTACAAAGGATTTCACAGTATGGTTTTGATGGCAGTTGTTAATGCTAATTATGAGTTCATAATATCCGAATTTGGCGTTAATGGGAGAATCTCTGATGGAGGTGTTATAGAACAAACAATATTTTACAATAAATTGAAAGATAATCAATTACAAATTCCGGACATTGATCATCTAAGTGATTCAGATAAAATGCTAAATTATGTGTTTATTGGTGATGAAGCCTTTAGCTTGAAACCAAACTTTTTAAAACCATTTAATCAAAGAGAATTGACACATGAACGTAAAATATTTAATTACCGTCTGTCAAGAGCAAGGCGAGTCGTAGAGAATGCATTCGGTATTTTAGCTAATAGATTTAGAATTTTTCATACCAGCATTAATTTAAAACTAGAAACTATAGATACCGTTGTCATGACATGTTGTGCTCTCCATAACTTTTTGAGAAGAAAATATCCTTCAACATATACTCCTATTGAAAGCATCTACGATGGGAATCACGAAGGTTTAAGAACGGATGCTTCAAACCTAACTGACATACAGAGAGGACATTATAGGAGTATTTCCAAAGACGCCAAGCAGACTAGGGATACATTTTTACATTATTTCAACAATGAAGGAAGTGTGCCGTGGCAAAACAGTGTGGTGTAACATAACATACGTAGTTTCACTATCGAATTTTACTTCAAATATATTGTAAACGGTGGCATTTTTTAATAAATAAGTTTTAAAGTTATTCATGTTTATAAATTTATAGAAAAAAAAAAAACATTATTTACCTCAGAATCAAAATTAGATACTGGCTTTCGAACAGTTTCTTGGTCATCTACAAACTCCAATAACTCGAAGTACCATAGGGATGTTCGATAGATGTCATCTGTGCTGGCACCAGACCTAAGGGAATCCTTAATTTTTTTCTGTTCTTTGCGACGAGAGCTCCTCAAAGAATTAATTTTTTTTGTTACAGTGTCTCTTGTAGCATTTGGCTCCACCTGCATTGCAATAAATATATTATTGAAATAAAGATAAATAAAGAACATAGATAGATACATACTAAGTTCAACAATATTTTTGTAAGTATGTGCAGGCAGCTGCAAATAGATGATACAGGTAGATTTAACTGACTTTACCGCTCGGAAGTTGGTTGCGAGCGATTGCATACGAGTAGTAGACCGTCACCGAATACTGTGTAGCGCTTGCAACTAACTTCCGAGCGGTAAAGTCAGTTTGATTTTAGTGTACACACTGTTGTACCATGTTACTCACAAACCACCAATACATTCAAATTAAATTCAACGTGTGAGTTTGGCAAGGTACAAAAGTGTAAACCAACTATTACAGCTAAAAGTGTATACTAACTATTACAGCTGACTGTACCTACCCGTGTAACTCACACTACTGAGAAGGGTCTCTTCCTGATAACGGAAAGAATATTTAAATAGGTACCAATAACTTACCTAATGATATATAACAATAACTTACCTAATAGATAATAAAATAAGATAGTACCTAGTTATTCTACTTGACATGACAACCCCTATAACTCCCACTACTGGGAAAGGTCTCTTCCTGATAGCAGGAAGGATATTTAAATACCAATAACTTACCTAATAATATATTTGTACCTATAACTTAGGTACCTGATAGATAATAAAATAAGATAGTAGTTATTCTGCTTACATACCTCCTTTAACTTTTCAATCAATATATGATAAGCTTCATTTTTCTTGTTCCGGTCAGAGTATTCCTTACTTTTAATTTTCCATAAAGCCGGCAACGATTTATATAGTTCTATGAATTGAGTTAAAAATTCCTTCGAGTAACTCCTTATATCACTCATCTTTTTTATTGCGACGTGCACTTCCTGAATAATTCTCGGACTGAAGCGCGGCTTGAATGACCGGCCACACGCGCAAGTAAAACCGTGCAGGCCAAGTTTGCGCAGTCCAAATCTTCAGCAAGTCATCGATTGCACAAGGCCGCGCTTCTAGGACTGCGCGAGCTACCGTCTTGCCGTCCACACGCACGCGCTTACCTGTACAAACAGGTTTGTGCAGGCATGCTCTCAGGTAAGACGGAGCGTGTAGCCGGGCCATAACACTGACTATTTTATTCTCTTTGATTTAACGTCATGAATTGACGTTTAGATCCGTTTCCCTTCAAAACGTATCAAACTATTTGTGCTGCCATCTAGTGACATAATTTTTTGTAGTTTCTTTATTTTTTTTTAAATACTTTCTCACTAACCAGATACTAAGACATTGATTAGTTAACCGTTATAAATAAAGCTGTTAGTGTCCGACGCTATTTAATTTGACAGCTATTTAAAACAATGCTAAGATGTGTTTTAACTTTAATGAACCTTTATAAGTAAATATTTTTGATAATAAATTGCTTAACAATGTCTTAATTTTCATCAATGTAAGGCTGTATGTATTTGAGAATCTGTGCTCATTATATGTAAATTCATATTTTACATCTATATCCTACGGTATGAGATGAAAGCACATTTTTGTGTCGTGTCATGGAATAGACGCATTAGTGTGTCTATGGTGGCAACAGCAGTATATTTATTTCATTCTAATGTGTGAAACAACACGCAACAACATGATAGAAATGTGTTTTCATTTTTAAAAACCACAGTTTTTTTTGGGCTAGCAACATTACGTAACCTTTAGGGCGTCATCTGGTGACGTCAACGGGGAAGTAAATAAAATTGGAACACTGGCTTAGTGACTTTTAAATTCAGTCATAGTTTCACGCACTTCTCCTCTGAACGGTTGTTGAGATTAATAAAGTATTATATTTAATAATTTTTTATAAAATTTAGAAATTTGTAGTTTCGTTTTTAATTTGTGAAATAATAAAAGTAACTATAGTGTTTAACTTCCGCTTTCTACAACATTTTGAGAAAGCGGATGTGGTTGGTCAGCCATAATCGTTTCGTGTGGGTCTGTGCTTGTGTGGTTTAGGTTTCTTACCGGTGCCAATAATTATTTTTAATTAGTAATAAGTTATGCGTATGAATCCAGACATGGATGATGACGAGAAGGGGTATGTATATTTTATTTATTTCTTTTGTTCTGATATTTATGTGGCAAGCATGCCAACTATAATAGGTCAAACTGCACGTTCGCTTGGTGTGGTGTGTCGCATTTCACGATCAGCCAGCGAAGCTTTTAATGTAATATAGCGCGCTGATCTGCAGGACAATATCTTTGGATTCTATGACGTCCTTACTATTTCGGAGGTCTTCAATGTATGATTTACAAAATCGCATACATTCGATTGGCCTCTTACCGGCTAGCGGCCACCGACCCCAAGCCTTTCTGTACGACTTGCGTAGCGATCATGGCAGCTATCACTTTCCCATGATGAATTTGCCAAAATTTTCGAGTCTTTTCAGTGTAAACATCTTGAATTCGTAAAAAAATATCCAAGTTTATGTAACTATTTCAAATTGTTAATCTGGTGTGGAAACGTCGCCGCAAATAAAATTAACCTTTCTGTAACTAAAAGTAGCTTTCTCTTATCGCGGAATTTGCGTTAGGACAGTTAGTTGACGTTTATTTTATACGAAACAATAACTTGGAAGAATGTTCCATAATGAGGTTATTAGAGCGATGGTCAATTGCCGCGTTGCTTGATCTCATTTGCAAGAGTCGCTGAAAACGTGCTGATTCATTAGCATAAGGTTACTTAGGCGGCTTTGCCACGGCGTCGATTATAACCTTTAATTGTTACTTGAAACAACTTGTCGATAATAAAGAAACTATTTATATACTTTGTTGGATGTTAATAATATTCATTATTTTTATCATTGTTAAATGAAACTGTCATGTTATACTTTTAATGTTAGTATCCTAAGCCTAATCTTTTGAACAAGTTATTTGTTTTAATTTTAATACTAAGTAAATTAATTTCAAAGAGACCTATTTCTTTTAACATATGAGCTTATTGCTAACAGTACTTTCTATAGTCATAATAATGACTTCAAAATTTGCTTAAAGTGAATGTAACTTTCACCCATGTTGTAAGTAATTGTGCTTAGTAACCACCAAGATGTGGCATGTGGTATTTTATGTTAAAAAGACCATGAGGGTTGCAAATGGCAATTAAGATACATAAGTTCCTTTTCATTAGTTTATTCATTATATAATTAGATTTAAATTGATTTTTGAAGTATTTATTGCTTATTGATCATAAATTAATGCTAGTTATGAAAACAGGTTTATTCACATTCTGATACTATGTAAGATAAATTTAAAATTGTGTTAGCATAGTATTTAAAATATTTTATTGATCACAGACATGGTATTTTATTTCTATTTATATGTGATGTTCAATGAAGACATTGCTTTTGAGAAATTTAAAATGTAAATGTTTTATAGAATTCTAAAATCAGATTTCTTCATACTTTCTCAGTTCAATATTTCAAACAAATAACAATAAATTATATATCTGTTGATCAATTATAATTGTTCATAAAGCTTAATGTTTGAATAATTAATGGTTAATGGTTGGTGAAACATTAATTTTAAATATATATATATATATATATATATATATAAATTTTTTGTCACAATGTATGTTGCCAATAAACTCTAAAACTATTGAACCGATTCCAATCAAATTTCACATGTACCCGTATTTTGGTTCAACTTATTGGTTAGGATAGTTATCATCTCAATTATTTGCAAACGTAAGTGAATAAAATGTACTAATTAATTGTTTCTTAAGCAAGTTTTATTTACTGCTTAGTTTTATGAAGTTCTCATAGATGGCGGTGTACGTTGATTCATCGATCAAATTCTCCAATATCATTTGACGTCTAGGTTGCAAATACACATAAGTAAAAAAAAATTAAATGGAAACAATTGGTCAAAATCAATGTTATCTACCTCATTTATAAATTTGAGTTTTTAAATAATATCAATGAATTTTTTGTATATATTTTGTAAAGAAGTCATTGTTTTTAAATAATAGTTAAAGATAAGAAAAATCAAATCTACATTTAATAAATTATAGTTTGGAAAAACTAAATAAACACGCTTTTGAAACTGATTAAACTAAAAATTTAAAAATAGAACTGGGATACTCAATTGAAAAATTCATATTGTTGTACAAAAAGCGTTGAGCATTGATTTTCATTGCTGTAAATATTTTAACGATAGTTTAGTATACCTTTAGTAATTATAATAAGCACCCCACGCATTTTGTACAACAATATGAATTTTTTCAATTGAGTACTCCAGTTTCATTTTCAATTTAGCTAATTCGATTTTACCGGAAGGGTTTTATTTCCTCAGTTGCGATTACTAGCCGGGTCAGCTAGTGTATTATAAAATAATTAGATACTTAATAAATGAAAGAACCATCAGAAAATTTGTTCATTGTTCATATAAGCAATGGCAAAATTTTACTAAGTGAAAATAAAGCATCATGTAATTGCATAGAATAACATTTCAATTAGCAAAAATGTTAAGTTTTAGTTTTAATAAATTATTTTCTACTACATTACTAGTCCTCCATGTAGAATGTAATAAAAAAAAATATTTGTAACCAATTAGTTTTTGTTTTTCATAGAAAACTGTTTGTTGGTGGTCTATCATGGGAGACCTCACAGGAGAATCTGCAACGCTACTTCTCTCGCTATGGGGATGTTATCGACTGCGTTGTGATGAAGAATAGTGAATCAGGTCGCTCCAGAGGCTTTGGTTTTGTAACCTTTGCTGATGCCAGTCTGGTGAGCGTGGTTCTGCAGAATGGACCTCATCAGTTGGACGGCAGGTGAGATTCTCATTATAACTTTCAATTTCAATATAGAAGGTCAGCAGTTTTGTGGGGCAGAAGAGCCAAAAGTGAGAATTTACAAAATTTCTTATTTAATAAGCCACTGAATTTCTGATTTCCTTTTGATATAATTTAAATTTCTATTTGAGATTTATAAAAATAAAAAATAAAATAGATGATATAAAAATAAAGGACTTAATAAATAACTATCTCTCAGTCATAGTCAGAATTATCGATCATATGGTTATACTAATATAGATCTATTACATGATTTTTAAGGTATTTGATATCAACTTATAAAGTCAGACACTAATTAAGTACAATAAGCATTTAATCAATAATGCCCGTTTGGTTTTATAGAAATATTCTAAATGTTTTCCTGTCATAATTTATAAAATACATATAATTTTCAACTAATAATAGTTATTTGTATGTTAAATACATATAAATAATTTTTATGCCACAATGTTTTTTTCTAATATAGTACAGATTTTCATTTAATTTATTTATTAAAATTTGGCCTAAAATGACGAGAAAATCTTAAAATTGGTTCATTATATTCATTATTATGTTCATATTCGTTCATTATGTTCATTATTCATATGTACATATACATAACATTAAATTGCGATGTGAAATGTTTATTTTTCATTATTTTGTTTAATAAAAAACGATGTGAATGGAGAAGCCGAAAAAAAAAATTTTGTGAAGGTACCTATATTAAAATTTTTGGGGAGGTAAATCTTTTTTACCTTAAAATTGCATAAAGCCCCTAATAATAAAGTTACTTAAGAAAAAAAATTGTACTATCCGTATCCCTACGACTTCGCTGGCGTAAATTCTATCCAGTAGTTGTCGAGCTTATTCAATCCTGTTTGCATCAATCAAATTAGTGTATATAGATCATAACTATACCTTTACCGTTTTATTATAAACCAATGGTCTACACAAAGTACGACCTCGTTCGTACTTTGTTCGTAATTTGTGTAGATCATTGGTCGTCTAAAGCAAAATAATAACAACAGAAAATGTGAAATTGATACGTATTGATATATTTTGGTCTGGTAATGGTTTAAAATTAGTATTTTATAATAATACGGTTTGAGTTTTACATTCTGACATACACCGCTGATACGGTTGGAGATAAGCCACTTCTAGGTGATTATTCACAAAACCAAACGACGTACTTAGTGTCGTCACAGAAAATTATTGTATTGCTTATGAACAGAAAATGACCGCGTTTTGTTCGTTTATGAACGTCGAGATTTCATAATTCTGAAGTAAAATTGTTACCCAGCTATTCTGAATTTGATCACTGGTTACAATATCCTGTACTATTTAGAAAATATCCGTTTAAGTCCAGTAAAGATAATAATCAATTTTCAAGATCCAAAGTAATTGTGTATGCCATCACATTTTCCTTTTCCACTATTTATTCGGCATGGTTACCCGCTGTTCAAACTAACACAATTACAATTTATTTTTATACGGTAAGTCTTTTCTAGTAATATCTTGTTCCGTCTGGAATATTTAACCGGAACAAAGTGAAAAAACGCCTTTAAAGCGCTATCAACTAGTTAGTTTTTGAACGTAAACGTCTCATAAAAAAATGTCTAATACCTATACGAATTGTACGACGATAAGACTAACGATTGTTGCCTTCTCTTTGTATGTTCGTGGACGCAACATTAACGACAAAACAGTCTAGCGACATAACTTCTAGTTTTGGGTTATGCAAGTGGGGTTATGCACTTGCTCCGGGCACACGGTGTTAGCAAAAAACCTGATTATGTATCATCGCGTTTTTTTTTTCAATAATTTATTTAATTGTAAGCAATACACTGAAACTCCAAGGCCTATGCGATTGATACTTTATTTTAAAGAAAATGTCAGTTTTGTTATATTACAAATATCACAAAAAGTAAGCTATATATTTTACATTTGAATATGTTCAGCAACTAAAACTGAAAACTAGTTCATTAACAGTTTAGTAGATTTCTTTTCTATGAACAATGTGCTCAACCCGTATCTATCTGGTTTCCGTCCCCGTCATAGTACGACTACTGCACTTGTCGAAATTGTAGATGATATACGCGAGGGCATGGAAAATGGACATATCACTGAATTAACGCTGTTAGATTTTTGTAATGCGTTCTATTCTGTGGATTTTGACATTATTAGTAATGTTGGTTTCTTTTAATGAATCTCCACCGCTTATTGTTTGGTTTTATAGTTACCTGTACGGGCGACGGCAGTGCATTTCTATGAGAAACTATTTCTTATATTGGTGCGATACAACGACCGGAGTTCCGCAAGGTGGCGTTTTGTCTCTTCTCCTATTCTCTATCTTCATTAATTCAATTACACTTTCTCTATCTTCTTCACATGTATGCAGATGGTTTCCACATTTATATGCAAGCTCCAATAGAACGGTCTGTCAACAGCAATTGCAACTGCTAACAAAGATCTTCACCATATTTCAGATTGGAGTCGACGACACGGTCTGATAGTCAAACCATGAGAATCTCAGACAATTATTCGGTATTTGAGGCTAGATTAAAATATTTGACTGCAATTTGCCTTGAAGCCCACGTGAAGTCAATAGAAAAGTATTTGGTGCATACAGCTCGCTCAAACGACTGAACAATCTTTTGCCGACTAAGACAAAATCACTCTTGCGCAAACCCTGCCTCTCCCACTGCTTGGCTACTGATTCCTGTTATACAGACATAAATGTCATTTTGCTAAACAAGCTTAAGCGTCTTCAGAATTTATGTATTCTTTTCATCTTTGGTCTGTGTATCTCTGAATATCGAGCCCAACTTCAGTAGTTTCTCATCTATCTTAGAAGAGACTTACATCCTTTCACTTCTTTATTCTATTTTTAATCCACACACAACGCATTTTCTCAAAGAATGCTTCGTCTTTCACGCTTTTAACCCGCTCCGAGATTTGAGGTCTTCCCATAACTTGTATTTGGCGATCCCTCATACAACTGATTTCGTAGCCAAGTCATTTTACATCAGAGCTATTAAGCTGTGGAACTCCATTGCCTATAAATATCAGACGCGCAAACACGGCACTCTTTTATTAAACCAGTCAAGGAACATCTCAAGCTGGACTCATCTTCCTGAAATAGTACCTACTCTGTGTGGTTACAACATCCCATTTTATTTCTTATGAATATATATATACATATAGCATATAGCATAAGTATATGTATTTACTTTTTGAAATGTTCTTCACGCTTTTCTTCTTTAATTCAGTTTCTTAACTGAATTGGTATAGTCAATCTTAGCCAAGGGTAGCCTGGTAGAAATAGCTACCCTAGCAATAAGGCCGACTTTTGCGTCTACATTGCTCGTAATGTGTTTTTGTCAATGTTTACTGTGTGCAATAAAGAATATAAACATTAATTCATTCATGTACCTCAAATACACTCGACACACAATTTGAAACTGATTGTTGCCTTCTGCTGCAAATAGATAACATAAAAACATATTCATGTTTTTATCCATTTCTTTTTTTATTTTTTTCTCGAGAATAGTGGTTTATTAGCAAAATATATACGCACAGTAGACGCATAGTATATACCTCGTTTAGCTAAATGCTAAATCCGTGTAATTTGGGAATTATCTGTAATTTATGTTATATCCGGATTTTGGGTCATATTGATTTCGTAGTAAATGATATAAAATATAGAAAAGTGTAATAAAAACAATATGAGGTAAAATCGGGGTTACTAACTCTGGGGCGGCCTAAATGATATGTATGATAATATAATACCGTAAAAAAAGAACGAGCTTCACAAAAATATTTTAAAAAATCCAAACATTCGGCTACGATGGGATGCACATGTTTTCAAATTGTCTAAATGAATTAAAAGAAAAAACATAGGTACACTGCAAAAATATGGTAATGTAAAATTCGACCTAACAAGGTATCAAGTTGCTGCCCCGGAAAAAAAATCGTAGAACCAGCGCCGAATTGGCTTGAATATGCATACCGCTTGTTGGCTATTAATTTTTAAGTTTTAAAAAGCTTTTAATTGATTTTTTTTATATTAACTTTTATATTATTGTTATTAAACAGAACTCCTCCAGTTATTTTGTTAAAAAAAACTGCTATTTAGATTCTTATAAAAAATATGAAGGAATCTACCTAGGGCTCTCATGAGTATAAGATTTTTTAATAGATCTACAAGTCGCGGAGAAATCCGTGAACCTACATAAAAATACAATATGTACCTGTCAAACATAGAACCTTTTCCTCAATTACATGAGCCTGTTAAAAATATAGTTATTGTAATCCAATAGTTTTGACTTGAGCATTTGCGCTAAATATCGATATAGTTAGTGGTATTCATTTAGCTAGTTTGAAATAACACTACATCGTTGGAATCAGTGGCTAGACCATAAGCGGACGGTGGAATTAATAATTTGACTAGAGAAACAGTCGCTTTTAGAAGCGACCGTTTCTCTATTTCTATATTGTTTTCTTGACTGTTTCTATATTGTTTAGTAATCATGTGGTCTCTTTTCAACCTTTATCACATTTGATATGTCTAACAACTAAGTTATGAGAAGATTTGGGTGACTGTTTAGTTGACGATTATTTTCAATTTATCGATGCCCAAAGTGGTCCATGTGGACCCCTGACATGACAAAAAGTGGGTACTGTTGTAAATGCATATTTACTATTGTAATATGTTGTAAACACTAAAATGTTAGCTTAATGTGACCTATAAAGATGCCAAATAATAATTTGTTGTCAATTTATCAAGTTTGTCCTTCTCATTATTAGGACTATTTTGTGATTGTCACGGTTAAAATTACGTTATTTTAGTATATATTTTAATAAATACAACACAAGAAAATATAATTAATCAAAATTAACCAATCAATTCTAACTCATTTTCTTTTTGATAACTAAATTCGTGGTTGAAACTTATGATGCATATGTCCATAGTTAGATCTATCCTTACAGTTTTTACCAAGTTTTTAAGAATATTGTAAAAATGTAGCTACGAGGGGTCCATTGAAACCAACAAAATTATAAGTATATAGACAGATATGTTGAGGGATTTGAATAACATAATTATGTTTTCAATGCAGTTGCTCATAAAGCGCTATTTTTTTAATCCATTGTAAACACCGAAAGTAAGTCTTTAAACACGTGTTAAATAAAAATGTACTGAAATCCTTTACTGCACACGTGCTTAAAAGTATTTTTAACATTGAACATTTTTCAATGTTTTTTGCGAGGAAATAAAACAAATATATACGTTATAAAACCTAAGTATGTATTAAAGGTAAAAAAAGTTGTAAGAAACTTGAGCGTAAAAGGTTTTTCGAATTCGTGCCAATGAAAACCCTCGCTACGCTCGTGTTTTCAATTTGGCTCTTATTCGTAAAACCTTACTTTCCGCACTCGTATCTTAAATAACTATATTGTTTTTGTTGAATGTAAAACTATTTACCTTGTTAACCTCGTCTCTGCTTTTTTGTCCAGCCGAATAATAAAACTTTGACATCGGTTTTTGCCAATTTGCACTGCTGGGACTCGATAGTGAGATCGTAGTGTGAATAGATGCTTTATTATTTTTCCTTTTTATTGTCAACAGAACCATAGATCCGAAACCCTGCAATCCTCGTACCCTCCAGAAGCCGAAACGTGGGGGCGGTTACCCGAAGGTGTTCTTAGGCGGTCTGCCCTCCAACATTACCGAGACCGATCTTCGGGTGTTCTTTGGTCGTTACGGCAAGGTCATGGAGGTCGTTATCATGTACGACCAAGAGAAGAAGAAATCCAGGGGTACGTATTGAAAATATATAAGAGTAATACACCCAGTTGCACAAACTTTCATTAAAATTAAATTAATTTAAAGGAACATACTGATATAAATTCTCAAATTTAGAACATTTATTTGTTCTTTAAGTCGTCATTAAACCTTGAAAGATTGTTTGTGCAAGTAGGTGTCAGTACAATAAAACTTCGATTATCCAAATTATTATTTGAACTAATCGAAATGTGAACTATTTTGGACAAGATCTAATAAAAATAACATTTTTTACCTACAGTACAGTATATTAAAATTTAAAATACATATTAACGTTGAAATATAAAACATGTGCTATCCTATCGCAACTTCAGAGCAAGGTAGAAGTTTGGCAAGGGCTGTTACTTATCTTTACACAGCCGCAAACGATTCGACGATGGTTCGAATACTTGAGACTACTCTGTACACACATTGGCTTATCAAGTTACCATGTCACTTACGAAACATTAAGGACAATTTTAGTTTTGCATTACCTGATTCTGTTGACTGCACAAGTAATTAGGTTCATCATAAAATAGTAATTTACCAACAATTTTATCTGTTTTCTTTAATTATACTATAATTTAAAAATAATGTTAAAATAATTATTCTAATTACTCATTGTACTACTTTAGCATTGGATAATAAATTTCATTATCTAGTGATGTTGTATTTATTATTTTTATGTCCATGGATCATAATAAAACAAACTGTGCTGTCATTTGGTCATTGCTTTTAAAATAAAGCTATCGCTATAAAATAATATATAATCTCTTGTTTTATAAATTTTTGAGCGTAATGTAGCTGTAGCTGGTATTTAGTATTGAACTTTTTTTTTTATTTAATTAATTTAAGTAAAATCACAAGAAAAAAATATATATATTTTAAATGTTCTCATTAAGCCCTTTCATCTGATACTTACACGGAATGATTGAATAATATATTTTTTAGTTTCTTAGTTCATAGTCTTTAGCTAGAGGGTGTTGTTGTTAATTTAATGTAACGTCACATTTGTCCAGTTACGATGGTTAGGTTCGAAGTTATAAGGGAACAGATGAATATTCTGAACATATCTACAGGACAAAATCATAACTCACCCTTTTCACTTCGCCGTAGTCGGGTAAAACTAACTTGAAATAAAATTCATTGTTCGACATCCGTCTTCGATCTGTGAAATTGAATGCTTACAAAGTTTGTAATCAATAAAACTAATACAGTTTACATGTACACTGGTTCTTTTTAGGCTTCGGTTTCCTCTCCTTTGAAGACGAGATGTCCGTCGAGCGTGTGACTTCTGAACACTTCATCAACCTTAATGGGAAACAGGTATATTATTGTAATATGTTAAAAATGACGATATTTTACACAAATGTGTATCCACATTCAGGCAGTGTCGTCAGCTTTTTCTGCTGTCGGTACGTTCAGATGTTTGTGGAAAAGTAATTGCAAATTAGCATATACTCTTTATTTATAATAATATTAGAGTCTACAAGGTTTGCTACAAATATGTAAAATTTTCTACTAAGTAATTAGTACTAATGGACAAGAAAACATTTGCTTTAGATAGCACCATTGTATATATGTGTTTGGTCTGATATTTTTTGAAACAACAATGCCGAATCAACGCAGATATCACATTTATTGTGTATATATATTTTCATATATACTTTCCATGTTGCAATCGTAATGGACATTTGGGGTTCATTACAAGTCTAAAAATCGTTAAGGGAAGGTACTTTATCTTGCTTTTGATTAACTTGACACAATTTGGTTGATGTGAAGGTTGGTACACTTAGATCGAACGAATATGGCGCATGGTGAATCTACGTTTGTTCAGAGCAAACCTACTAATATCGATGATGACCGATTAAATGTACATTTAAAACGTATAATGAATTATGAATTAATAACCATTAAGTGTATAATACAACGTTTTCGTTTCACTTTGTATTACACTCACCTCCTCACTACTTGTATCATATCTGGTTTGGAATTTGACATGCGGCACAAGTACATCGGTGAGACACACTAGTTGTATTTTACTGTACACAGTTGCATCAATAGTATGAGATGAGAGAGTCAATACAATTTTGTTGTCGTAAGGTGGAAATTAAACGCGCTGAGCCACGTGACGGATCTGGTAAGCTCGGTTCTGGGTCCGGCGGCATGGGAGGTGGAGCTATGAGCGCCCCGGGTGATGCGCCCCAGGCTGGTCAATGGGGCCCCCCTGCGGCCGCGCCCATAAACATGATTCAAGGCCATAACGGTCAGATGGGCGGACCGCCGATCAACATGCCCATGGCTGGACCAAACATCATGCAAGGGTGAGATAATGTGACTTTTCTTTTAGACAGATTTGTACATTAATATACATTCATAATTTATTTTTTAAATCAGTATTAATATAATGTTTTGATCGACTAAGATACTCTGTTATTAGTCTTACACTTATTTTATAAATACTTTTAGTTCTGGTTAAGTTTGGATTGTTATATCTGACGGCTAACTTTATAGAAGACATAGAATACAGGTAGTCGAGTAGAGATGGTGAAGAGTAGAGTTGGTCCCCCAGGTATCAGGGCTGGGGCACGTCCCCCGGTCAGACGTCGTACGCGGGTTACGGCGCAGCGGGCGCGGGTGCGGGCCCCGGTAACTACCAGGGCTGGGGTGCCCCGCCCGCGCCCCAGGCGCCTCCTCACGCTCCCGCCTGGCCCGCCACCAACAACTATACTCAGCATACGCAGCCACCCGCCCAGGGATACGGCAGCTACGGTAAATACTAGCTTTTATTTTTACCACTTTTAATATCAGCGACACTTTCTTCCACTTTGCTTTTAGTTGTGTTCTAGCATGCATTGGGAGAACAACAAAATTCATTCGATTCGACTTTATGAACTAATCGCAGTAATGGGATACATAGTATTCATTAAACAGTTCTCTTTTTATAATTAAGTCAATTTGTCTAAAATGTATAACAGTAAATCAATACAAGCTTATTTTTTGGGAGGAATATATTGAGAATGTTATAATTACACCTTTTATGCAATATTTTGTGTATTTTTATATGTGCACAGAAAATTTGCAAATTGACTAATCAAACGATTTTCCTTCGTGTTTAAACTAATAGGTACCTCGAAACAATCTTTATGCCAATTGAAAATTTACACATATTTGCTTATGCAACTACCATCATGCTTACATACTAAAAAAAATATCTATCACTCTTGCTGGTATTACTTCTTCTCATACGTAAGCAATTCGATCTGTTCTAACACACATCTTTTAATGTACAATTACACATTTCTAAAATTATCACTGCTTCCAAATACTATACAGGTGAACTTCAATCGTTTTGTTAGAAAAATGTATTTCTGATTACCGCTGGGTCAAAATGCAATTTTTTGTTTATTATATTCATACAAGTTTCATAAATTTTCCATTAATAAACTATCGAAAACAGATGTTAATACGAGGGCGGGATGATAAATAGCTAGCCTAGCATAGAAAAACTTGAATTAGTGTGTTAAAAGTATATTTATTTTTCGATATAGTCTCCTATCCATCTATGCTCTAAAGCCTTGATGCCATCCCTGAAGTGGTTTTCTTCAAGCCCTTCAAAATAACTGTCCACGGCAGACATCACCTGGCTATTATTTTCAAATCTTTATCCACCTAAAAAATTTTCGAGCTTAGGGAATAGATGAAAGTCAGATGGTGCCAGATCAGGAGAATAAGCTGGGTGTGGTAGCAAATCATAATTTAATTCTTTGAATTTCGCCATCGCAGTGATGCACGTGTGAACGCGCGCATTATCCTGATAAAAGATTTTTTTTTTAGCTAGGCCGGGTCTTTTTTACGAATACACACTTGTAATTTATCCAGTAGATTAGCATAATATTCGCCATTTATGTTTTCTTTTTGGAAGGTATTCAATCATCAATATACCATTCGAATCCCAATATACTGACGCCATGACTTTCCCCGCTGATTTCACGGCTTTTGCTTTCTTTGGAGCCGGGGTTCCTTTTTACATCCATTGTTTAGACTGAATTTTTGATTCAGGTATATAGTGGTGAACCCAAGTCTCGTCTGTAGTAACAAACCGTCGCAGAAAATCAGTTGTATTGCTCTTAAAGCGGTTCAAACATTCTTGTGAAATTTGCATACGAACGCGTTTTTGGTCAACTGTAAGCAATCGCGGCACCTACCTTGCGGATAATTTTTTCATACATAATTCTTGAGTCAAAATGTAATACGCCCGTTCTTTAGAAGATGCCTACAGTATCAGCTATCTCGGAAAGTTTCATTCTTCGGTCAGCTAAAACTGCATCATGAATTTTGATCACAATTTCTGGAGTGGCACTTTTTGGACGTACTGGACGATGTTCATCTTGGGTGCTGGTACGGCCACGCTTAAATTCAGCCACCCAATTTTTTATGATCGCATATGAAGGAGCATTTTCTCCCAAAACATCCTTCATCTCCGAAAATTCTCTTCACCTTTTAATCCTTTTAAATGCAACAAGTTTATCACAGCTCGTAGCTGAATTTTATCCATATTGCAGAAAAAACAAAAGAATGCTTTTTGAAATGTCAATATTTAAAAGAAAAACTATACGATCGATTTGAAATTTGGAACACTGGCAGCTATTGAACCAATGAGTAATATACTAAGGAGATTTTATATCGTTATTATACAAAATATGGGTTGGGCTAGCTATTTATCATCCCGCCTACGTATGATGAGATCCTATAGTGTCCACATCCAGGCAGTGCCCTCTGTCATTTACAGTGGGTACGTTCAGATGTTTGTGGGATATTAATTTGCAAGTTAGCATATACTTGTGTTCCATTGAACATAAAGTCTACAACACTTGCCACAATGTTCACTTCTAACTAATACATATGATTTTAAGAAGATATTAAATTCATAACAATTATAAATATCGACACGTTTATTCTTTGCACAGAATCGCCTGGCATTTAAACGATTACATTTTGATAGGGCGGCATTGAACCTTTCAAAAAATCACATAAAATTAGGAGCCATAGATGTTGTAATTTTTTTTGGGGAAACTGTATAAGTTGTAGAATTTAGTATGTATATATATATATATATATATATTGAATAAATACTGAATAGGTAGTTACGTGAAAGTTAGTGTCTTAAATATAGAGCAGAAAACATAAATATGATCGATTTTCTAGTGTTTTCAAATCTGAATTGATTTTTAATAATCTGGAGATATCTGGAAAGCTTAGAATAAAGTTTGATTATATATAACATACCATCACATTAAAATGATACACACAGAAACTTTCTTTTTGAAGAACATAGGCATACGCCTGCGTGCCTCCCCTCTCCAAAGTGACGTTAAGATTCTATAAAAAATGTATCAGTTTCATATTATATGCCGTAAAAGTTAATGGCATGCATAAATAATGAGGTTGATATTGTTGAAGTGTGACAAAACATTCAAACATAAAAATGTGGACGTGCCCTTGTATCATCCATCCGGCCCCCGCTAAAATTATAGTCTTAAATAGTCGAAAGTTAGAGTTGATCGTAGAACAAGCTGTAAACGTAAATATCATATTACAGCGAACTACAGTTCGGCGCCGGCGGGCGCGTCCGCGGGGGGAAGCTGGACTAACTGGAACATGCCGCAGAACTCCAACTCGACGGGCTCAGGTACGAGAACCACCCATTCGATGGAGTTCACACTGTTAGGATATCTTTGACGTAATAGACTATGTAGGGTGAATACTGAAAATGTAGATAATATCTTATACAACATAATGTCGGTCATTTATGCTTTAAATTGCTGCTGCCCATGAATAGTAGGTCTTATATTCGAATATAATTTATCGTAAACCTGTAGGTATCGATGGCTATCTAAAATGCGGCATTTATACAAGGATAAACAACGTTTAATAATTCTAACAAACAGCTAAATATGACTTGATAATAGTACTCTAATCGTAGGCGGCTTAACGAATTGTAACAAATTGGATCTAGAGTAGATTCATATTATTGAAAGGTTTCAAATTGCTAGACCCAGCGGACTTTTAACTGCACTTTAATAATAGTATTGAGCCTGGATAACATCAAATATGATTATTTTCATGCTAACTTATTATAATTTAAGTTCAAGGTGAGGGTGGTGGTGGCATGTAGCACATTGTTTTTTTTTTCTACAGGTATGGTGTAAAAATGTAACTTAATTTCACTTGGTGTGATTATTACGGTATTGTCCAAAGCGTCATTAAGTTTTCTGGATTTTTAAATTGAATTACAGAAGCTTGCGTAATATGTTAAGTGAAAAATCACGGGAAATTTATCGATTTCTATTGCTAAGTTGTTTACAGTTCTAGCTCTTTTGTAGTACATCGAGTTAACTGTTAAGATTTTGAAGGACAAAGTTTTGCTGATGGCAATAGATGGGGGATTAGTTGATGGTTAGATTGAAAATGCTTTAATTAAAATGACTTAGGTTAATCTCTTATTCCTTTATCTTTACGATAGTGATGATGAATCTGTAATTTTAAAAATATTGCTTATTGACCCAAATGAAATTTTGCTTCTAGATTATTACGAGTGGCATATGCCACTGTTGTAAAATTATATCAAATAGTTTTATTATTTCTTCTTTATTGTCCTCCGTGCTTTGAAAGACATGCTAAGCCGTTTGCCCTGACTGCATTGACAACCACCAATCACTGGCCCCGCGTGGTGGGCTATGGCTCTATGTCCCTATTATGATTTTATCCTTCGAAGGCTTGTGGCCTCAACAGTGAGGAAAATTAATAACTGGTGATGAAAGTAAATTTTTGACGCTACCCTATAGTTAATTCGGTTTCGAAGTTTGCTAACTTAGAGTTGGACTGTCCGGTAGGTTCGTACGTCCCACTGTCGGAGGGCGGAGAGATGTACGGTCGCGGGGGTGCGGGAGGGGGTGCTGCTCAGCCCCCTCTGTCCGCCGCGGGCGTGCTCTCCTCCGCTGCACTGTCCAAGTCATCCTCCGCAGATTACTCCACCTACCAGCAGTACCCGCCCGCGTACCAGCAGGACCAGGTCGGTGAATGCACGCACACACACTCCAACACATATTACATATAAATACGCACGCACATTAAGTTGACTACTCATTAGCGACCTGAAACTGAAACCAAGGTATGTTGCTGTTACCGTAACCTATACTGTACGATAGTGATCCAAAGTTAAACAAATATATAAAGTATCTGTTGAAAAACGGACCGTAAATTATGGTTTGGCTGTGAACAATATATAAGTGAATGAATCTTTCAGTAAAAAGGAGCAATGTTATAACAATATTTCTTACTTCGTTGCATTAATCTTATTCGGTAAAAATGCTATCCGTTTTTAAGGAAAGTTTCGCGTGGACAACGCAAATAAAAATGTTTCAGGCGTCCACACTCGAATCAAAGTACTGTATCGGTTTGGTTACAGTTACAGCTCACTTGTGAGTACAACGCTCAACTCTACCAGAGTGCTATTACAATAAATTGCCTTGATGTCTTTCATTTCAGTAACCTCGCCATAGTATTAGGACTTGACTTATTAAATTCATCTCAGAATCAGTGGGATTTGCTCAAGTGTGTTTAGTTTTGAACCGGTGTTTTTTGCACTCAAACAAAGATATAGTAACGAAGCAGGATTTGATGTCGTAAAACGTAAACCATATTTTAGATCAGTTCTAATTCCGACGCGTGAAAATTATTCTTGAACATAATTTTTTTCTACTCACTTTCGTGTTAATAATAATAGAGTAAATGACGTGGTAAATAGATTTGTTTCACGCAAACCCATTTTTATTACGATGGCAGTTAATCAAGGTAATTTATTAAATGGAACTACTATAAACTACGAGTACAAGCTCATTAACTTTGTGGAGCTAAGCAGTTAATAAATCAACTATTAAAATGTTAGAATAGGTTTGATATTTCAAAGAAAATTTAATGGTGTGATACATAAAGATTTTGAGACAATTTTATGTATGAGTTACTGAAATTTGTTTTCTGTAAACATGTATGTTTTTTATTATACAAAAGTTAAGCTTCACTGGCAATTTAAATTGATTCTTTGCTACACAATTTTAATGTGCTTGGTCTGAACTGTAAAGAATAAATATGAGATACTCTATCGTAAAGTTATCAATAAGATATCCATATTCATTCACAATAACAGTCTAAATCCAGAACAGATAGCTATTCGAAACATTACATTAAAACACATGGATCAATCGAAAACGTGACTCCAGTTAGGTAAGAGTGTTTTATCAGAAATTTGATGACACTGTTTAATAGTTCAGTCACAAAGTTTTTGATTGAAGTCCGATTACATATGATTTTTTTGGACAGATCAAAATCGCAACAAATTATGACGATATTGCTATTGTTTACCAAATATTATACTTTTGTGATTATGTGTTTTTCTTGTTTGTATAATGATTGCATTATCTATCATAATTTGTTTGTGATGTCTTATTTTCTTAGTTGAATGCAAGCATTTGTCTTCTTGCGGTAAACGGTTAAGAATAGCAATGAGCAAATGCTCGCTTTCACAGTTGATTAGTCAATATATTTTCTTATCTATATTATATGTTTAATTTTTTAACAAACTAATATGCCACACATGCAGAGAAGTTCGCAATGTGTGAGGTGATAAATCATAAAATAAAAATCAATTGACTTGTTTTATCACCTTAGACATTCTTTTTGTAATTATAAATTATTTGAAACAACTACTGAACGCTAATTGCTATAAATTAACAAGTCGATATTGAAACACTGATGTTAAATAATAATTCACTAGTTCTGTTATAATTATAACATTGCTGTTTCAAAAACAATTCAGTCATCTCTAATTCTGTAGTTAAATGTAGCCATTCTTACGATTTTTTGGTCTATTGTGAACTTTTGATACTGACAAGCATTATTGAAAACATGTTTATACTGACTCAGTTATTTATTTTTTCAAAAATTCACATATGAACCTTCGTTGAGCATTAATCATAAAATATTTAGGAGTGGTGTTGGTCTGGTTTTTGTAAATTTTTTATAGTTTGGACTCCATTCGTATTTGCAATTGTTTGGAATGTTTTTCTGATTATTTATTTACCTATATATATTTTTTCAGTAATGTCAGGTTATCGATGCTTTTGAGATACTCTCATGATCATGTTTTAATATTCGATTATAAATCTTTAAATAAAAATATTGCCTTTTTTTCTATTATATTTGGTCTTCATATTATTACAACGAGAACAATCGACATATTTTTTGTTCTTTGTAAAAAATCAGTTACGTATAAAAAGGTTTTTAAATGTTTTTTATAAAAATTCAAAAATGGCAATATCAGTATGCGAATTTGAAACATGGTCAGTCTTATTGGGTTATTCGCGCAAGAGCTAACTCGGTGGGCTTCTAACGAATTTGTTAACGTACACGCTGGATGATGATTTCTTATATTCATAGGAAGTAACAATAGTCACTCTTGTGAATATCACGTGACAAAACTTCCAATGAATTATGAAATAGAATCGCAAATGATCACGCTTCCATACAATATTTCTTGCATTACTTAGAATTTTTACAACATAATGAAAATTTTTAGGTTTCATTCTCATATTGCCTATGATAATTCAAGAGATATTGTAATTTTTATAATAAAGTACAGCCAAGTTGATTTTAATAAAATATTATTTGCTAAATCCTTCGGGGCTTGCATCCTTTCCTCCTTTCTCCTTGTTACTCTTCGCTTTTCTTTTGTTTTCTCCCGCATCTACCCATGTGAATGTTTATCGTGGTTCTGGTGTGTACGACCGCATGAATGAGAATATTATTATATATTGGTAAAATAACCGCATTGAATGGCCAAAAAATGAATGAACGAACGAATGAATGGCCGTGATAGTTTCCAGTGTCTATGCCCTGCTAGTGTTAACGTAACAATGGTACTTCAATAGCATTTCAATTGCATTTTCCCACTGAATATTATCACTACAATGGTGTTTCAATGAATCAGTGTTGACAGATTCTTACTTTATTTTGTGATAAAGTAACAAGAACTGTTTCAAAAAACCTGCTATTGAATCGCCATGGACACGCCATTATTACGTCAACATTAGTAGAATTGAGATCCGATTGAGCTATAGTTTAATTTGGTTGTACTTTTGCACCTAGATTGTTTGCGATTCACGAGTGAATGGTAGTGAACTGTGAACCATTGGTGAGCGAGCGAAATTCAGCGAAAACATTCCATTGAATGCAAACAGCGATAAGTTGGGGCTGTAAATCAGCATGAGTGATTAGAGCCATTAGTTTGTCCTCCTTGCATCCGTGTGCTGTGTGCCAATGTGCTTGTTACGTCCACATAATCAGAGATGACGGCGTTCACTTCTCTGCATGTTTTCAGTGGCGAGATTCGATGTGCGATGTCTTTTTGATTTTGAGAGCTATGCTGCGGTTCATATTGACGCGGCGCTCCATGTTACTCTAGCCGCTCCTTGGAGGCAGTAGTTGATAGTCGCACCGCTATCCATAGTGAAAAATCAAGAAGATTAGTGTTTTAATCAAGTTTCGCTGAAGGTCTCTCATCACCGTCTCCCCCCTACCATCTCCCATCCCGCGTCCATCCTCGCCTCTCTTCATCTGGCCCTCGGGGATATTCACACGCTTTGGTCCATTTTCACGAGCTACGCTACTTACATAATTCTGCTAAAAGAAGCCGACGTTGTGGCGAGTGGGACTTTATGTCGTGTAATTCTTCTTTTCCAGTTGGTCGATCAGGGCCCACAAGAGTGGCTCCTCCAGAAAGACAATTAGAGATAAGGGTGGGTTACGGATGAGGGCATGTCGCGAAACACTGGCAATTTCTCACTATGGACGGTTCGATTTACGCGACGATAACGCGTGCGCGCTCATCAAAAAGCCATCGCATCGCACTAGATATAAGCTTTACTTAGTTCCATTTGATATCCATATCGCAAACTGTAGACGTGCGAGATGACTCAATGGTTTGTTTCATCTCAACACCTGTAAATTGGCATTTAAAGTACAAATTAGTAAAATTTGGATTTTTTCATATTGTTACAGGTTCATTAATAGATATATATTCAGTAAAATTAATATTAAGAGCTGTACTTTAAGTGTTCAGAGTTAATTCGATCATTATGTCGATTGTAACCGCAGTTATCATATTTATATGAATTGTGTTAAAATCATGGGGCATCAACCAATGCGGCCTCTCGACAGCGCTAGTATTATAATCCTCGCTTAAGTAACATGATATAATTTAATAAGTTTTTTATCGGTAACAATAAAAATCAGATGCATCGTTGAAACAGTTTGGCCTCATTTCGATCCTCCATGAGTCGTACGTACGCGGCGGAGCCGATGCCTCGGCTCGTTTCGGACGCATAGACTTAGCTACAAACAAAACAACGAACATGGTCGTGTCAGCATCATTTTATAATCACACATTATCTAGTATTAGAAGTAATGAGTAATCGGTATCGGATGCGTACTGTGTTCGTTGTAACGGCCGGCCGCTGGTAATTAAGTGAATGTATACACGCGGTGAGTTGGTTGAGTCGGCGGGTTGTGCGCGTGATGTCCCCGGAGGGCGAAGTCCTCGCGTGTCTAACGTGGTGTGCGGGTGTTAGGGCTCCACGTACGGCGGGTCGCGGTACGGAGGCGAGTTCCACGCGCCCGCTGCCCAGCCACCAGGTGTGCATATCCCGCACCACGCGCCCAAACACTTCGCCGCTGAGTTTAACAAGGAGTGGCCCGCCGCTTAGTTCCAGGGAGTGCCCTAATTGGGCCTAGTTTTAGCCGGCGCTCATACGGCGAAGCGGATCGTTCTCTATTGTTGTTGACTACAACTGTGATGTCGTATACAGGGAACATTTGTGATCAGTGCACCAATGTTTGTTTTAGCATTCTTTAGGTTTTTCTGTCCTTTTTTAACCACTTTCCTACTTTGAGGTCCCTACTTTTGATGATATATTATTCTCGATATATTCTCAATAACTACATATTAGATTAACGACGAAAATGTAAGTAAATACAGATTTTGTTTCGAAGTATAAAAAATAAAGATTAATACTATTTAAGGTACTAAGCCCAGGAAAATTTGTGCACTGATTTAAAACTTACCCTGTGTATCAATGTTCAAATGTTAACCGCTGAGTAAGTTTGACATAGTCTAAGCGATGTTAACGTTTCGCTTCGCCTGTTATGTGCAGCCTGACAAAGCACGGCCCGCCTAGTTTGACTAGCGCGCGCTGCATACCGTCACAATTCACACACTATTGCGCATAACGCACTTCTTTTTTAACAAACCAACCGATCGACTCGATAATCTGAATAGGTTTCTCCTATAGGCCCGATAGTATAAATTTAGGCACCTCAATTTTCTGAAGTCACTAAAAATAAATCGCTGTCGAAGGAGCAAATTTACAATGCAACTTTAATATTTAATTAAATATTTGATTTGACTCCGATTGTTATAGATAATTATAAGGTATTGCACCCAATTTTTGAGATGTTAAATGTTGTATCGGTCACCGATAACTACATCGACACAAACCCACACGCGTATTAATAATTAAGATACATATTTTAAATTAAATAATCTTAATAAAAAATATTAATTAGTGTGAACGATCAAGCTATTAGATGTTTGTACAACACTCGAGCTTGTGTAATGATTTTGTAAGGTTTACCTTGTTTAGAGCCCGCGGAAGTAGCGTCCTCGCGCGGGGCGTTACAGGACGAATGATGCGTTTTCAACTTTGACATTTTCCTAAAGTAGGTTCTTGATATTACTTGCCCCGTTTTCGCGACCCCCTCTTTGCTGGAAGGACGCTGATTTGTGTACACTAACGTACACATTTTTTTAATTAACTTTGCTTTTAATATTCTTCTTGGATGTGGGCTTTTGAATGGTTTATTTTCATATATTTTGATTATTTTCTATTACGATTTTAAAAATGATTTCTTTTAATGATGTCGTACCTATTGTTCGATGGGATGGATAGATCTCACTATTTCGCGTAGTGGTGATGTTACGAAGTGTACCGCTTTTATTAGAAGTAGTTAGGAGTCGTGTAGAGTTGGCGGCGTGAGGCGTTGAGGCCGCCGCGCGCCTGCCCGCGTGCCTCACATTTGACAGACAATTAAACAAGGCCAATTTAGGGAAAAAATGACCTAAAGAACTTAACTTAAGCTAATAACTTGTATAAATATTTGGTATATATATCGGTATGTATGTTTAATATTAGAGTTTTGGTTATTTACCACCCACTAGACTTAGGAAAAATGGTAGGGATTTAATGAAATAATTATGTGTTAATATTTAACAGAACATAGTATGACTGACCGTATTATATTTAATTTTTTCTCATTATTTCCAAAGGGAACAATCTGTATAAATAATATTCGTAATTTTAATTTGTTTTTTTTTTCTTATATGCATTTTAGTTTTTTATCGCAATTTTAAGTTTTATAAATATGGAATTTATACTTTTAATGAATTATTAAATTTACCTGCCAAATTGTTAGACGAGCATGAAATAACGTATGTTAAGTAAATGAAGCTCAAGCATTTTAGGATATAGATGTTCGGTACGGTTACCGACGGCCCGCGCCGGCGCACTATCGCACCCTTCGCGCGGACCCACTGTATATATATATACTTACTTGTGTGTAAAGCATAATTTTAATCAAACTCTCGTCACATAGTTTTAAAGTTTTAATTTATGTGATTGCCAAATATTTTTAAAAACTGTATAGAGCTTTCGAAGGTCGCTACGGCCGATATGTTAGTCGTATCATAAATATTGATTCGACGCGTACGGCGGCGCGCGCCCGCACCACCTCGTTACAAAGTGAGTTATAATTTAAAATAACATTGTTAGATTAAATTTAATGTTAGTCCTTTACTGTACTATATCGCTCAATCATTTGACCGATCGACTGATTAAAATTTTAGTGATAAGCTAAGTAATTAATAACGCGGGGTGTGAGCGAGCGGGCGCGTGACGCGGCACCATAGCGTCTACATTATTTGTTGTATATCTTAGAGTTTACGGACGTACTGATAGACTGCCCGGAGCATTAACAAGCAAACGGGAGTTGTTCCTTTAATTTTAAATAAATAGTACCGCGATCGCATTAGCGCTCGCAATGATAAGATTTGTTATAAATGTTTTTAAATAGACAAATTGTTGATGATTACATTGAATGCATAATTTGATCGTTTAGAATAGGGTTATTTAAGATCGCTCCGTAAGTAAAGTATAATTTATCTATGAGGCATATTGTGAGGTGTATAAGCAAATTATAAGTGACGCGGTCCGGAGCGAGGGGTGCGATGTCCCAAATTTAACGGTTAAAATAGTGAGAAACGCCTTTACATTGTGATGTTCATAGATACGCGCATATTGGTACATTTCTTATAGTTCTATATAATACACACTCGACTGAGACACGATCAGTATGTAGGAAATTGAAACTCGTACCTTATAACAATAATAATGAAATAATGTTAACTATGGACTGGTGCCTACTGCCCGCTAGGTTACGTGTACGTTCGTTAGTCTGCTTCGTTTAATTGGTTCCTATGTTAGTTAGGTTAGTCTGTATCCATTCCTGTGTCTGTATTCGTTTCGGTCGTACTCCATTTCATTCGTCACTCGTCTCCTGTTACCGGCGCCCGTCACACGCGTGCCACGCTATACACATACTACATATGTGTGTGACAAATTCCGTGTTCATTTTGCAATATCGACCTGATCATTTCTGTTTTTTATTATTTACTTATAGATATAATGTACAACCACCGATAATATGAGGAAAATGTTCACACCCGTTTTATAATGTTAGGAAAAGATGCCTTAAAAAAGTTAAGGAAAATATATAGATGATTTATATTATGTTATTTTCAGTGATATTGATAGCACTAAGGTGTTTAGGTACGGGCTCGTGCCCCGACACTCACAAACCTTCGGAACAATTTAAGAACTTAGTTTGTAATGTACCGTTCGTGGCAATTTTCTAATTAACATAAAGAGTATAATTTATTTAAATAAAAAAAAAAAATATATGTATTAGAAATTTTAGATTTACACAACATTAAACTTAGTGCAAATTAATGTGAAAAATCAATTGAGATATATGGGTTTTAATTATTATTATATAGGTGAAGAACATAAAATATTGGATGAATTTATTAATTAAAATAGTTAGCAAAATACAAATACGCTAAGACTCGTTAGAGGCTCGTCTGTCAAATGTGTTATATCACGCGAGCAAGCGACGCACGCGCACGCTATCACTACACGCGGCCATCATGGATATACCGACCCATCACTAACTAGCATATAGAGTTAAAATATACTATAAAAAAAACAATTTTTGTACAAACCGTGTGTGACGACACTTGCAATCCTTGCATTTTAATATTACACTGAGTAATATCTACATAAGGTATATACTGTATCTTAATAATAATGTTTATGGAATAATATTTTTAATCATGGCTTAATGTAGAACTGTTGTGTAGTTAACCTTTCGACTCTTGTTTGTATTACATTATATTATAGTGTACGCGGTTTTTATATGTGTATGTTTATTCAGTAGATATATAAATGAAACAAGTTTGTGTAAAAGTGTATTTTGGTATTATTATTATTATTATAAAACTAACTTAGCCGCACACAGCACGGCAGCAGATGAGTGTAGCCGCGTGCCCACTCATTAATAAACTTATCATCGTAATTGACTAATTATACAAGACCCTTAGTGTTAAAGTTAGATTAGCAACAAAACTCATTTTAAGTTCACATTCTACTCGTCGTAATTTTTTTTTTTGCATTTAATATGTTGACCGCTTTCAGTCGGTTTTACTGTAGTTCTTCGAAACTTATTTTTAAAATCAATGCAGGTATTATTAATATAAAACCTCATATTTATACTAGAATTTAATATAATGTAATTATTGAGACAGTTTTTATCGTAAAATAAATTGCACGGGCTTTACAAGTTAATTATAACATTAATTATTATAAAATACTAGGGCAAGTTGTTATTTATTTCTGTTTTAATTAAAATTTGATGTTGATTATTTTTTAAACTATATTTTTATAGTGGATTAAAGTACATAATTCTCAATTGATTAGATTACAAAATTGTTAGGTGAACTCTCGACTGATGTACAATATTTAAAATAATGTTTACTTACGACATATATAAGTTTAATTTACGCCACTCTTTACCTAAGTGAGAGTGCTATAATATTTATATACACACATGTATTAATTTCCTAAAGTGTAATTT